GGCCCAGGGCTTCCAATGGAACTGTGAACGCTCGTACATGGGAATGAGAGCAGAATGCACGCCAAACAATCATGGATCGTATCTCTACTCGGAATGCTAACCGTGGTGTAACGAGAATTACAATGGACCTGTAATCCAGAGGTCGCCGGTTCGTCTCAATCTCCCGGGGCGGTATTTGAATACAGATACCCAATGTCTTAATCCCCTTGGCTCTGTTCACCACATCACAGTGAGTCAATTTGGCAGGTCGCGGTGTGGTGGGGTACAGTGTGGGTAACTCCCACCTCTTCCAATACAATAGGTCATCATGGAAGAGTAATTGCTCTAGAGCTGCCTGCAGTGGAGGCTCTTCAGCCAACACCAGCGTGAGCGAGCATGACTTGGCTTGTATATTTATTTTATTATGTTTTATTTTTATTATTGTATTACTTCCCTTCTACGTGACTTTACCGAAAGAACCAAGAAGATGAATCCCTGCAGTCACGAAAGCTTTAAATCGAAATTGTATATTTACAATTTACTCAGATATTTTGTGTACGGTATAACATTGGTTTGAAGTTCAACATTATCATGTGCCCCCCCCCCAACTCTTTGTTCAATAAACTGCGAGATTCGGGCCTCTCCACTACATGCGGCGTTGTGTGTAAGAGTTGCGTAAACATGAAGGCTGCTGCTGCACAAGAGTTGCTGTGAATATTTACCTTTTGGCTTTGGGGTTATTGTAACGTTGCGCAGAGTATTTTTGAAGAAAGAGCCGGGATTTGCCTACACCCATGCGCAATCACCTTAAATGCGCCCTGACCTCATGATACCCAAAGCGAAGCGGTGTTTATTTAGCCTGGGTATTAACTTTGGCGTGAAGGCCGCGAGGTGTTTACCAAGGATTGGGCGTGTTAAACATGATTACGCGGGTTTCCCCCGGGTTTATTTGTTTCCTCCGATACGCAGCCAAACGCTTCTCCATTGAATTGGCCAAACATCCCAGTGCAGCAACACCCTCCACAAAGAGTATTCAGACTCGGCGAGGCTTTCCACGATAAATATTTGTTTTACTACTATTACAGTATATTAACTTTAGGTATCTTCGAGAGCCATTTTAATGAATAGGCTCATACATTTGTATGTACTGTATGTCGAACTTCTTTCGCACCATACGTAGCCAACCGTGCGAATCGGATAAACGTTGATCGACGTTCACAAGATGAACATATTTCTAGATTTGAAGTTTTCGTGACTGCAAGGATTCATACTCTTAGGTTTTTTCGGTAAAGTCACGTTGGTAAGAAATTAAAATAAATTCAATCACGACGTTTCGGAGGCAACACAAGCTTCCGTCTTCATGTGGAACCGTCACAGCAACATTAATGTATCAAGTGATACAGTAATCACTTGATACAGTAATCACTTGATACATTAATCACTTGATACATTAATCACTTGATACAGTAATTTTGCTGTGACGGTTCCACCTGAAGACGGAAGATGTGTGTTGCTTCCGAAACGTCGTGATTTAATTTATTTTAAAAAATTACCTACGTGACTTTACCGAAAAAACCAAAGAGTAAGATTAACATACCTCGATTCCGTTTCGATAGTTTTTAATTGGTTAAACAGTCAACGCAAAAGGAGATTTCATACAAGACAGGGAACTGTCGTTGGTTCCATGGCTCTGTGCGCAATGGACCGTGCGGACAAAACTCTTCTAGACGGCGCCACGTGGCTCGCGAGCGCCCACTGTCGCTCAACCTCTGCTTTGCGTAACACATCAGCTGTGGTCTATCCACTGCTGAATGAAGGCCTCCCTATCCACTCACCTGCTTAGACACACTCTTAATACATAATACGCAGCGGTGGCGCAGTCGTGCGCGCAGTGCGCTATGAACCTAGACAGGCAGACAGAAAATCTTGCGGGAAGTCAAGAAGGTACGTGGTAGGCATGTAGATTTTTAAAACAGGCAATGAAGTATGCTGTTAAAGGAGCGCAAGACACTAAATGTAAAACAACAATTACGACTTCACGTTGGTACTGTATTGCTCTCTGTTTTCTGGTTGCATTGAGTTTTGTTCGGAATGATGTTCGACGTTTTGTTCCACGTTCTTTGTCAGGAAAAAAATCGGCTTCAGGAATATTTTAGTCCCTGACAAGGCTCTCAGCACGTGGAGCGAAACGATGGACACACCGGATATCACGCCGTACAACCAGTGCTGGATGAAGCTAGTGCGGGGCCTATAGCATACGTTATAAAGGGGCCCTAAATAAAAAAAAACATACATTTTCTACTTGCATAGTAAAGTAATTGTTTTTTTTTCATTTGCTATACAGCGAGATAATACGACAAATCGCTAACCTTAAACACCCAGTCGTTCATAAAAGTTGAAGGCAGTATAGTACTCGAGTCATCGAGCAAGTGCATAATCACTGAACCGGAATTGATAGCTTGAAAGCATTCAGCGCGAGGCCCTTGAAAGTGTGGGGCCCGTAGCATATGCTACTTTTGCTCCTAGGATAATCCGGCACTGGGTACAACTCGAAAAACTTTAAAACTTTTCTACAAAACTATGAACTAAAGGGCTCCAAACTATACCTCCAAAAGAATAGCCCTGCACGAACAAAAATGAGAAAACAATGTACATGCCACGCATACATGAAGGAATGGTCCACTCCCTAATCGATGTCTCTACGCATGCAATTGAGCGGGCACAACATGCGCCCGCGGTAGTGACGAACACGAGCGCTATTTTGAAAGTAGTGTTGGTTACAGATAAATACTGGCATCACTGACCGCTGCTCTCAGGTGATGGACTTCAACACAACATTTGCGCATGCATTTGTAAATACAGCAGGACCAAATTCCCGTGCAATCTCATTTGTAAATTTGGGCTGGGTCCAAAAAACAAATGTGTACGCTTAATTGCTTAGGGGTCATCCATAATGACGTAACGCACCTAGGGGGGGGGGGGGGGTCAGACATTTGTGACGATGTGTGACGAGGGGGGGGGTGAGAAATGTGACGTCACATTAAAATGCGCAACTTTAAATAAATATAAACACGTTCTACTTAATTGAATACACTTTTTAATAAATGTTTTTTCCTACAACATCAAAGTGCAGCGTCACATTAAATAAGCACTACAATGACAATAGTTTAAAGCGATTTGAAGCATGTTTTATTTTAATTTTACTCTTATCACATTTGTAATTTCTCCACACAGACCGGCCCACTGGCCGTCGGAACGGACTTGCCTACCGGGCGCTTGCTCGGATTGCTGCCCCCGATGGCCAGTCCGGGCCTGTGATGGTGCATTTTTTGTGGGGTAGATGGCGGGTGTTATTAAGTGGATGGGGTGTCGGGTACGGTAAGGATGTGATGTGTGGGGTGGGTCCGATAAAATGCGGTAAATGCGGTGGGTAGTGGATGGTGTGATATATAAGATGGCGCGTGGTGTGATTTAGATGGTACTGTATGTGCTGAAGTGTGCGAGGTCGGTGGATGATGTGCGATATGTGGTAGGTAGGTGGTGTGATGTGAGTCGGGTAAAGTGTGGTGAGTACTATGCGTGTGGTAGTTGGTATGTTGGGTATGCCATGTGGTAATTGCTAGATAGTATAGGCCTACCGGTTCTTGGCAGGGGAAACTGATGGGAGTAATAATAACCCTGAACTGGACACTTGGGTTTAACTACTTGGAGTCAGTGTCCTCGGGGCGAAAGAAAGAGGCTGCTCCACAGGGTCTGCGTCCCACGGAGGAAGCGCACACACACAAACTCGCCACTTCGACCACTTTACGAGGACTGTACAGCGAGCGAGAAGGATCGAGTATGCGTTGTGTGCAGTAGAGGGTAATACGGTACAAAACGGCCACCTTCATACTTCACCAAAGACCAGCAAGGCGTGGGGGGCGGGGGGCTTTCGACCAGCATTGGATTGACAACCATGGGCCGTTGCAGCTAATGGAAATAATATAATCAAATGTCGGCCCTTTTACATCTTCGTTTGTGGTATAAATTATACATTCCGTTGGCGGGGAACAGTTAAGAATAATACATTTATGAGCCCTTGGGCTGAGCTGAGCCCCGACGGGGATTTGAACTTGGAAAGTTTGATATTTAGCGTCGATCTCTCAGACTGATAATTTTCATAGACTACCATCGTAAGCCATGATCCCATCCACCGTTGGATGAAGGTTTCCCCAAGCTCTCGCCATATATCTTGGTTTTGCGATGCTTGACTAATCTTTATTGCATTTTTTAAGTCGACTAATTATTGGAACAAAAGTACTGGATCTACTCACTCAAATTTTTGACAGAAATGAAATGCATCAGATGTGATGCATTTCATTTCAAAACCATTGTGCCTTGCCTTTGTTTGCAATGAATACGCATTTGACTCACTAGAAATGTATGTAGTAATCCCAGCTTTCAGAAACCGAAGCATAAATATGTTTTTATAAATTACTCGTAAAAAAGAGTTATGTAAGTGGGCTTTGGCAATAAACGCCGCTAAGAAGAGATGACGGCCGATGGTCAATAATAACGACGGAGTGGCAGGCAATGAATGGAACATGTTCACGATTGACTGAGGAGATGAAATCAATGTATGTGTAGGAGCTCGATAGATTATTACATCATATGGTCATGAGAGGTGGCGGCGGCAGCTGAGAGAGGTCTTTATTCAGCAGTGAATTGACCATGGCTGATGAAAGATTACTTGCAAGAACGGGACAACTGCATTGATATTACATGAAGGAACAAAAACAACTCTGCAAGGCTTCGCTTATCTCGGACCTAAATTTATTTATTGTGCTCATTACAAGCATCAGCAATGGGAAACAAAGGCGGCTGGGTGTGGTGTTATCCACCCCACCGACACTGTTCCACAACCACAGCCGGCACATGTCGCACATTATCCACCACCCACCTTTGAGCGCCCCACCCTTCCTCCACCAGTCTCATCAATACGCACCCCTCCCACCCCCTCCCCACACCGGCACGTGGCGGGGTAGAAAGCGCACAGGTATCGCTGCAAGATCTCCTATAAATAGGGTCCACATGCAGGTGTCTCTGCAGACAAGGAGACACGAAGCTGTCTACGCGCGGTGGTGTAACGCGAGTGACGAGGCAGCAGCAATAGGAGTAAGGAGGTAGTGGATAACGAGCTATAGAGCAGAGATCATCACTGTCTAAAAGTGATGGGTCAAACATCAAGCAAACAAAGAGGCTTCTACCATTCCAAATCTTCATCCCTCCACAAGTCATCCGATGAAGTGAAGAAGATCAGGGCCCTGGTGTACTCGGGCCCAGAGGGAAAGAATCACGAAGCCTGGAAAGTGCCCTCCGAGATAGCAATCGACCGGCCACATGACGGCGACCTTCACACAAGCGCGTGAGTCCACGTGTGTGAATGAATGGGTGTTTGTGTGCGGAATTAACCGTTCCTCGCTGAGTGTATCGGTCCCTGCTTTGGTTCGCGCCCCGGCCTACAGAGGACCCGGCGATTCTACTGCTGAAAATTATTTACAACGTTCATGAGAAGTGCTATGAACCTGGCCCGAGCCTCCGATAGGTCGACTCAACTATAACGAGTATCTGGCTCGGTAAATAAACATCAGTATCATAGAGAAAAAGGCGACCATGAGAGGTGGATCAGATCATTACGTCTCCTATTACGCTGTTTCGGCCATATTATAGGTTCTTGCTAACAGTAATTGACTATACGAGGGATCTATGTGTGTGTGTGTGCATCACACATTAAACAATTGATGCACGGGGAAAATATTAAACGGCTGCTAGAACTAATTTGTGACAAAAACTGGGTTTGTCGTACATTTGGATACATTCTAATTTCTCGATGGTCGAAGCAAAAAAAAAGTAAGTTTTTGGCCCTATAACTCTCCGCGACTTATTATGGCTGCGATGAAAACATGTGTTAATCGTCAATATTGTAGGGATGAAAACTGGCTAACAGATGACCCGCATTTTTATTCTAGTGAAGTTGATTGCCAAGAACCTGCGAGTCCGGAGTCGCATGCGGCTCTTTAAGGACTGCTTTGTGACGTTATTTATTAAGGACCGTCCCGTTTTCACATGCATTGCGCCTCTTAACATATATATATATTTTTACTGAATTCGAAAAATACGTCTCCTTTTGTTATTGTTGCCGACCCCTGGCCAAGACCACCATGACATGTGAAGGCTTTGAGCAGCGTTAACGGAGACATGGCCACATTTAGGTGAATGTTTTGTAGCTGGAAGTGAGAGAAAAAATATATATGCAAACAATTCGGGTAATTTTTCAGCATTGAGACGTTAGGCCAATACCAGTTACATTGTTATTAGTTATAGGAGGTTGCTGGAGAACGGAGGAAGCTAATGCAAATTCCACACCGAGAGGCGTCTGAGTTGGGAATCGAACCCAGGATATTTGCTGTGAGGCGCAAGCGTTACCACGGCCGCCCTGTGGCTTTAAAAGTCGACGATCTCTGCGTTTTTGTTTCCGTATGTTTAGATTCACACAACTGCATGCGTTGATGTACCCGGTATTTATTAGCGTGTGCTTGTTGTGTGTGTTTACGCATCGGGCACCTTGGGGAATGGTGGCGCAGTGGTTGGCACACTGCACTACGAACCGGGAAAACTGAGTTTGATTCCTGGCCACGTCTGATATCTGTGGCAAGTGATATCTGTACCGGTTGTAGGTCTCCCCCCATCGTCAACTCATCCTTAATGAGTACCTGGTGCGGCGTTTTAACATCAGCACTTGGGATACAATGGCGGCCGGACGTGGATCTAGCTACACCACCCCCAAGTGTGTTGTGTGCTAGGGGAATCTTTGTTTACATGTGTGTGTTAACACGTATGTTTGTGTCACGTGTGTTCAAAGGCATTGTACGCTGACAAAGTCCGTACTCCAAGAGCCCTCAAAGGTAATGCAATATACCTTGGCTGGGATGTGAACTTATGTGCTCACAATCATGAGCCGATAATTTTAAACCAAGGCATTACACTATGACATCTCCCATTTTCCAGTAAAAATGTAAAAAGAACGATTACCCGCAGTTTCTCTATGTGCGGCAAACCTTCCTCGTTCGCCGCTCGAAGCCCTGCCTCTTTCTGCTTAGGCCCCACCCATTACTGTTTAGGCTCCACCCATTACTGCTTAGGCTCCACCCATTACTGCTTAGGCACCACCCATTACTGTTTAGGCTCCACCCATTACTGTTTAGGCTCCACCCATTACTGTTTAGGCTCCACCCATTACTGTTTAGGCTCCACCCATTACTGCTTAGGCTCCACCCATTACTGTTTAGGCTCCATCCATTACTGCTTAGGCACCACCCATTACTGTTTAGGCTCCACCCATTACTGTTTAGGCTCCACCCATTACTGTTTAGGCTCCACCCATTACTGTTTAGGCTCCACCCATTACTGCTTAGGCTCCACCCATTACTGTTTAGGCTCCACCCATTACTGCTTAGGCTCCACCCATTACTGTTTAGGCTCCACCCATTACTGTTTAGGCACCACCCATTACTGTTTAGGCTCCACCCATTACTGTTTAGGCTCCACCCATTACTGCTTAGGCCCCACCCATTACTGTTTAGGCTCCATCCATTACTGCTTAGGCTCCACCCATTACTGCTTAGGCTCCACCCATTACTGCTTAGGCACCACCCATTACTGTTTAGGCTCCACCCATTACTGGTTAGGCTCCACCCATTACTGCTTAGGCTCCACCCATTACTGTTTAGGCTCCACCCATTACTGTTTAGGCTCCACCCATTACTGCTTAGGCTCCACCCATTACTGCTTAGGCTCCACCCATTACTGCTTAGGCACCACCCATTACTGCTTAGGCTCCACCCATTACTGTTTAGGCTCCACCCATTACTGCTTAGGCTCCACCCATTACTGTTTAGGCTCCACCCATTACTGCTTAGGCTCCACCCATTACTGTTTAGGCTCCACCCCTTTCTACTTCGGCTCCGCTCCTTGACGGACATGGGCTGGGTTTTTAATGGAGACTGCATCTGGGCGAAATTCAAAAGTCGATATGAGGGGGTGGGTGACCAGCACCCCGCCCGGCCGCCTTTGTATTCCAAGTGGTGACATTTACAAATCGCACCGGGTACTAATTTAAAGCTGAGTCGACCTAAGGGAGGCCCATCACCGGTTCAGATAATTGTCACTGGTGTTGGCCGTGGGGCAGGGATCAAACTCGGGTGGCCGTGTTCGTAGCGAAGTGCGCGAACCATCGCACTACCACTCACCACTTGCGGACAAACGCACACACATAATCACTATTCAGTATATACTAATTTATTGTTTAGGTATGTTTTCTATGTTAAGCTTTTACATATTTATTTCAATCATTTAGTTTTTAGCTTATTTGGCATACAGTACAGTGCTTATTTAAGTTGTGACGTGACTATTTGTAGTATTGCATATCGCGGTTTTGGCTTTCGCTGAACTTTCCAAGAACGTAACCTCCGTGTTAGTCAAAGGTATCCTGTATTCTAAGAAGAAGAATTGGAATAGGTGACAAAGCCTTTGCCGTACCAACGTTTTGGAACAACCTTGTTTCCTCCCTTCACATCGTACATCTTCCAAAAATATTCAGAATCTCAAGATTAGTATTGGACACAACCACATTTGCAAATTTGATGTGTAACTTTGATTCATAATCAACGTTTTTGGGTTTAGATCGCGTTATTTATAAATGTGTCGTAACCCTCCACCACCCGACACGGCCAATCAGTAAAAAAGTGTCACGTTGACAAAGACAAAGCAGAGCCTCACCATTCTGGCGAATTGCCCGATGATGCTGGATGCAATTACCAGCGAAACGTCGTACTCAAATTGTAAATGTTGTGGCTTCAACACACCGGTGGGCTAAAGCAGTGAACTATTTGTCTTTGTCAACGTGACACTTTTTTACTGATTGGCCGTGTCGGGTGGTGGAGGGTTACGACACATTTATAAATAACGCGATCTAAACCCAAAAACGTTGATTATGAATAACATTGGTCGCGAAAGCCTACGTGTTAAACTGTAACTTTGATGTTTAACGAACTAACTTAGATTGTGAATTAATGATAGTTCAATTGTAATGTGCCATTTTATTAATGGATTGTGTTGTCTTGGTGTGTCTGGGACTTTTTGCTGTTGTTTTGCTGCCTTTCGCAAGCTTGGGAATTGATGTACTTATACAATATGAACTTTATTTGTATTTTTTTACGTGGGTTCGATCTCGACCCTGACGCCTGTATATTTAGAGTTTTCGTGTTCTCCTTGTGGTCATGTGGATTTTTTTTCCTCCAGGACCTCCGGTTTTCCCCTCCATGTTGAGATTGTTTAGATTATTTGGCTTCTATAAATTTCCACATGATAAGCCACTTCGTTGAGCTATCATTTGTGGCCAGGCGTGTTTCGATTAACGTGCGTTTTTTGTACGAGAATTCGCTATCACAAAAAATTTTAATTTAGACAAATTTGTTCGCAAAACGAGCAAATGTTTGCGTAACCAGTGACGACCGATCGATCAAATGCCTCCCGTGGCCGCAGGGGGCGCACCACGGCCCTCAGCTGCTTGGGGGCCATCCATTTAGTACGTCGCAAAAATCTGGCAAAACTTGAATCCTCCCCCCCTCCCTGTACTCACGCGGACTTTTTCCCCCCCCCCCCCCCCACCTGCGTACGTACGTTGCGTACGTACGCTTGACCCCCCCCCCCTCCCGAATCCTATAGAACGGCTGATATTTAATCCACGCAGAAACGATCAAGGATTAATAATGTTAACGTGTTTAAGCAAACAGGCAGTCCACCGCCGGACTGTCTAAATAATTTTGAAGGCCAATGTAGACAAATTATTATCGAGGCTTCACCCTTTCCTATGCGTACGTACATTGTCAGTAGACCCCCATATATACGCAAGCGTACGCATTTGGGTTAACCCCCCTTCGCCCCTCCATGCGTACGTATTTAATGGATGGCCCCTTACTTGGCAGCTGGGCTGTGTTGCGTGAACCGCGGGGAGGGGTGAGTGGTGGGTGGGGGCCTCGAGGTGGCACTGTAATGGGTGGGTGTGGGAGAGCAACAGTTAGCGGCCCTACGAACCCGGCGACCAGTGACGAGTATCTGAACCGGTCCTTGTCCTCGCCGAGGAAGATTCAGACTCAAATGAGTACCTGGTGCGGTGTGTAAACATCGCCACCGGGAAGACAAAGTCGGCTGGGCGTGGTACCAGCCACCCCCCCTCGTGTGCCGTACCGGCCTTTATAGGTGTTCGCTAATAATAACACCTTGCCCAACAGTCTGTTAAGGCTATACGGGGGATCTTTGTCTATGGCGGGAGGCTGGAGGATAGGAAGAGAGCGAGAGAGCACGTGTGACTGAGTCGAGAGTATCTGTGAGACTTTATTTCAAATATGTTGCTGTAAGTAGATGATATCATAGGCTTGCACTGTGGCTCATGTGTGGTGTTACCTTTGATGTTTTATTACTTTATTTAAAAAAAACAGTAATTTGTATTCTCATGTTAAGAAAGTTTTTCAATAGTGGAATATTTTGGGGCTTAAACATATCTCAGATTTTAACATGGGAGTCTGTGTTAGCTGAACGAGCGATTTTCATGGAACCTATCAATCGTTAAGCGTTAAGCATATTTATTTTTTTGTGATTTGCTTACCTTTTCTATACTTTGCACTCATTGTGTTTTTGTATTGTTGTAACTTTTTGACCCACCCCTAATCGACATCTGTGAAAAAGAACTTCATTGCTCGTCAAATTTATCCAGGATAAATAAAGATTCTGATTCTGAAATTAAATAACAATACTAACCTCAGGGTTATTAGTTTTTCCACAGTTTCTCATAAAACGGCTGTGAGTAAACACAACTATTGGTGCTGACCCTTGCATAAGACCTGGACCATCTTCACCATCATCGGCTGCCAGTGAGACACTGCAATAAATAGGGCCGGGTTAATTATCTTCAGGTATACAAAACACATCAGAATCTATTGCATGACCGTGAGACACTCAATTGTGAAAACCCGAGTCTAAAGGGTACATTTTTAGACTTGACATGTAGAGGTGGGTGTTGTGGAGCTGTGTGTGTGCGTGCAGCGCGAGGTAGTAGTGGGTGGGCCCAGTGTGGGTGGTTCTGCTTCACAACGGCCACAATCCACTTCGAACAGCAATATGATTACGGTATATAACATGCTAGCAATCGCCAGATAACCCTGCCTGCTTTATATTGGCTTCAGCGTCGCATTCACTGGAAGGCATGACTTGGTTCACAGATGATGGGGTGGTATGTCTGTTTGCATGTGCTTTGCATGATACTTGAAGCAATGTACAACTTTACTCTGGCTCTGCACTATGAGTTAAATATATCGGCCCTTCTAGAACATCATTAGGATTTACATTTCTTCCATCAGTAGCGACCTGACTTTAAATAAGTGCATGGTACAGAGACAAGGTCGGCTTTGTACGGTCGTGGCCACACCGGCTTAACAGCTGCTCACTATCTGAATCAGAATCTTTAGTGAGACTGGAGAAATCCAATGAGATATGAAGCCTTTTCACAGATGTCCAGTATGAGCGGGTCAGCAAGTTACAGCAACAAACAATACTAAAACATGATAGGAGTGGAAAATAGAGAGTCGTAAGCAATTCACTAAATAAAAATAACAAATTAATTAATTATATAAGTCAAGATTTATCAAGATTGGGCAAGGCAGCAAACACAACAAAACAATCCCAGACTACAAGATAATACCACATAGCAGTAGTTCCTCAATACAGTGGCACATTAACATTTAACTATCGATACACAGGTAAGAATAAAAGTTACAATTACATTTGCAAATGTGACTGTTTTCAGCACAAATCTTCTGCTTCAGGATATTTTGCCACAACAGTATATACGGGCTATGATGGGATATTTTTGTCTTGTGCAGGGAGTAGTGCCCAGGTCGTGCCCTTTAAGAACCACATCCTGCAGGGCGCGCTTCACGAAGATCCGAAACATAGAGACAGGACACGAGTTCCGAGACACCCTGCACCTGCAGAGCAACAAGGTACCTTGCACCCCCGTACACCCCAGATACCCCGCACACCCTGCACCCCCCACAAACCCCACATATCCCGTACATAGCAGATGCCCTGCATCCCCAGCAAACCCTGTACATCCCAGACATCCTTCATACCATGCAACTGCAAACTAACAAGGTGTAGCACCATAGGAACATGGCATTTGCACCACTGCTTCACGGTTTTAAACAGAGATGAGCAGAGGGACACGATGAATGATGACACATTGTTCATCACCATCTCTATCCGTTCCCTCCCCAATCATCTCTATACTTCTCCCTTGTCACCTGGACCTGGTTCAGTCCGGGATGTGTCCTGGAATCTGCAAGGGCTCCATCATGTCCCCTGAGGAGCTCATGTGCCCCAGCAGAGACTCCCCCAAACCACGTGCGGAGCTTCTGAAGGCGGCGCAGAAATTCATCACTCAGTACTACGCCTCCAGAAAGGGGTATGGCTCGGATTGGTGGAAGGCACAGAGGTGGCACCATCACTTTGCACGATATGCCCAGCCTGACTCTAACTCTTTCTTTGACTATAACCTTGTCTCTGACATCCCTGACTCTAATCCATAACTCTGAACTCGCACAGGCTGGAGTCGGCCGAGTATGTGGAGCGGCTGATGGAGGTGGCACAGGAGGTGGAGAAGAGAGGCACGTACGACCTCACGCGGGATGAGCTCATTTACGGGGCCAAGACTGCGTGGCGCAACGCGGCCCGCTGCATTGGCCGCATCCAGTGGTCAAAGCTGCAGGTGAGCAATCGGTGCTGTCAATTCACGGGTTAACACCTGAGTCAATCATTCAATAAGTGAGTGATTTGACCAGTGAGTCAGTAAATGGATTAATCAGCAACACAGCTGGTAGTTTGTGTGCTTATCCATCAACCTAAAATCAGTCATTGAGTTAGAAATTCTGTGAAAGGGTCAAGGTCAATTCTTCTTGCAATTAGCCAACTAGTCCGTGAATCATGCAATGTTTTCAAGAATCATTGAGCTAATGAGCTGTTCAATAACTCACTTATTCAAGGGTTAGCTACAAAGAAGGTTATTGCCCGACATGTCCCCTTTTTATACATATTATTTTAAGGCCAGAGTGTTATTGACGAATGGGAGTTTATTTTAATTTGTTTTACTCAAATCAAGTGGTCAGTGATTCTGTCATTAAGTCAACAAATTGGTTATTATGGCAGTTAGGTAGCCAGCTAGTAATTTAGAAACTCTGTGATTCATTCAACGTGTAAATTTATTAAATCAGTCAATGAGCCAATCACTCATTTAGTAATTTGTGAAGGCCTTCTCACAGTGTCAGGGGTTGTTTGTCCATATTTAACTTGCTGGTCAATCTGGGTTGGTAATGGGGAGAAGTCAAGATTGGTTCAGATATTGATGTCAACAATTTAATACAAATCCCTTCACCCTTCCCTCTCCCGTTGTCTATTCGCTTTCTGTCGACTACTCCTGCCTACCCCTCACTTCCCATCACACCACCATTACCGGATTAATCAGCTGTTTGACGCCAGAAACTGCACCACGCCGAGCGAGATGTTCACCTGCATCTGCGACCACGTGAAATTTGCGAGCAATGGCGGCAACATACGGTAAACAGTTTTCCGCAGCTCATATGCTTAATTCCTCACCCGTTTTCTGTAGTGTAGCTATAGAGTACGCAGGCGGTGCAATTTCACCAGGGTGCACTGAACGGAGGGGCCTAGGTGCTTTGAAGGGGGGTGGAGGAAATTGGATGGTTGAGCCTATTTTTTTCTTTGCCCCAGAGCCTATGTTAACTAGGGTTGTCACATCCCATGGTACAAAAACACTAAGACACATAACTACGCAACTGAAAATATATTGGACTCTCAGTACCGCTTCCTCAACAAGAGGATATCCTGGGGAAAAAAATAAAAGGAGGGGTGGCAACCCTATCTACAATGCAAGTAAAATTAATGAGCACAGATGTAAAAGTCAGGCACCTCATGATTTCAAATAAGCATTGGCTTGTCCAGTTATCTTCTCAGGTCGCACTCTTGCAACATTAGTTTGGGTAGTTTTACAAATGATGCAACCACAGTCAACATTTGAAAACTAGTATAATTATCCATAAAGGTGGCACGAAACAAACATTCGCTGCTCTGTGTGAGCATCAACACTGTTCATGTGTGGTACTGGCCCCACCCACTGCGTAAAAAATATGCCATGCTAGCCTAACACCTTAACAGGTGCTCGCTAACAGCACATTTGTTTTCACCACCAGCTCTACCATCACGGTGTTCCGGCAGCGCATGGACGGGCAGCACGATTTACGCGTGTGGAACTCGCAGCTAATCAGCTACGCGGGCTACAGGCAGCCCGATGGCTCCGTCCTGGGGGACCCGGCTTACGTGGAGTTCACAGAGGTGGGGGAACGGGAGGGTGCAGGGGGGGGCTGTTTCCCCGTGTCGTATGTATGTTAGTGTGTCACAGTGCCCCTGTGTTCCCATGTCCTCGTGTCTTCGTGTTTCTCTGCCCACATGTTCCCATTCCCGTGCACCCCCGCATCCCATCGTTCCTTTATCTCCGTGCCTCGTGTCCCCATTTCCTCGGTCCACGTGTCCCTGTGTGACTGTGCCTCCGTGCCATCCTGTGTGCACGCATTTGTGCTATCCTTCAGCTGTGTGTGGAGCTGGGCTGGCAGCCCCCCCGTACGCGCTTCGACGTGCTGCCTATCGTGCTGCAGGGGAACGGGGAGCCCGAGCTCTTTGTGCTGCCACCTGAGCTCGTGCTGGAGGTGCCCATCCGACACCCCAAGTGAGGACAACACAGATATAGATACACACACACACAAAGTGTCCCCATATAGCATTACCAGATTGTTGGGGAAAAAGTTGTTAGCAAGCATCTATGAAGGCCGGCACAGCACATGAGGGGGTACTCATTTGAGGCTGAGACGACCTAGAGGAGGCCCAGGACAATTTCAGATAATCGTCAGTGGTGGTGGCCATGAGCGGGAATTGAACCCAGTTCGTCAGAATTGTAGCGCGATGCGCTAACCACTACACTACTGCTCCCCTATAAAGATACAAACAAAGTCAAAGAGAGAGATACATACACAGATTCACACGCAAATACACATGCAGATACACATATACACATGCAGATACACATACACACAGATACATACAGAGATACACAGTTACATATACACATGGCTAGATGCAGATGTGGATACATATTGAGTGACACCCGACACGGTAGTCTTCAATAATTATATCATAGGAGTCTTTATTTATTCCAGCATGAGACACGTTATTTAAAGATTTCCTTCACTCCAAGCGTTTGTGTTTCTCCATTTATATTCCACAAGCCCCTTTCTCGAAGGTGCCTTGACCCACTTTCTCTCCAGCCAATCACCTTCCACTTTCTCTAACAGAACCAAACCATCCACTCTGTCAGTTACGCTCCGTTTCCGATCCTTTCTGTTTGTATATTTTTTCCAATCCCTTTGCCCTGCCTCTCAACAATCCTCTTTCAGTCCCGTTAAGTACCAATCAGGTAAGTATCGTTGGTAGTGATACATTCTCTCTACACATACGCGTAGATTTATACACACAGATACATACACTTATATTTGTACATAGAGATGCATACAGACCTACAGACATGAGAAGAGATTTCATAATGAAGTGTTTTGGGTTGGATTGCATAAATATAAATGTACTAGGGGTTCAGGGGTGCCTGTGGCGCCCCTCACAACCATTTACGCCTTTAGCCAGGAAAGTCACACAAAAATTGCACACGAATGACACATTCACGCAAGCACACGATGCTCCGTTTTTAAGTGTTAAAGTGAAACATCTTTGAATTGTATTATGTTTTGAATTAGATCATTGTATTTCTTCATTAAAAGCTTATATCATTTTACATCTGGAAGACTTCATTGAAAACGACATTTTGTGTGAATTTTCTCTCGTAGTTAAGTAGGTGGCCTTGCTGGGGGTTCGGTTCGATGCGGACTTTCACCTGTTTGGGATTGCGGGATCGAGATAAGGCGACATAGAGCTGGCCATGCGAGAAGACCGCCGTCTACAGATCGATTCCAATGTAATCGAACATCTGTCTCTGCGCCTCCGTCGTTCATGCAGGGGGCGTGTAGGTTTGCAGCGTCCCCTGCATGAAAACGACGGAAAGTGCAGCGTTCATCACAGATAAAGTTGTGCGCTTATATAAGAGTATTGTAAACTCACCTCCACCCAACAGCCAATTAATGAGGTTTGTCAAGTGAGCAAAACCTGCCAATTACTATTTCAGCACACTGGTGTGTTGGAGAGTAAACCCACAACGTTTTGTTGTGAAGAAGTTTTCCTGTTTCTGGTCTTTTTGAGTAAGGTGATGTCATCAACTCGCATCTACAAGTGTGAAGAACCCAGGGGGGGTTCATGTATTCATCAATCAATATCGACATGCTTTCCCGAACTTAATCAGGTTGCAGGATTAGTAACTCCACCAAGGCTTTCCATCTTGCCCTGTCCTCAACTGTGGCTCCGGAATCGCCAGTCTCACCTCAGCCAGGTGCACCACCTGGTATTTCCTGCACGATTGCGAGGGGTGTCTGGGTCTTTTGCCTGGAGGACGTTCTTCGAACGTCTCCTGGGGGAGTCTTTCTTTTGGCATCCTTAGCAAATGACCCATCCACCGTAGCTGGCTTCGCTCCACGCTGAATAGTGCCGACTGGATGTTGAGTCTCTGGCAGATAGCCGTGCTTCTCACCCGATCCCAGAGAGAGAGCCCTGCCACCCTGCACATGAAGCCCATTTATGTTGCTTTCATCCTTGAGCGCATCCTTTCCGTTAGGGTCCAGGTGTCGTGGCTGTAGGTTAGGATCGGGATGAATATTAACTGATAGACCGAGAGCTTTGCTTGAAGGCTTTGATCGTGTCTTGAGACCACAGACCGGTTCATCGCCCGCATCACTTTGGGAGTTGCTCCGATCTGGGCTTCGATCTCCTATTCCCTTCTTCCATCCATCGATAAATATACCCCGAGGTCCTGGAAGTCTTTGACTTCTTCCTCTATTTCACCATTGATGAAGAGGGACTCTGCCACTCTGGTCCACGCCACAGCCATGGTCTTGGTTTTGGAGGTGCTGATGTTCATGTTGACACTCTCACATTTCGCCACAAAGCTGTTCAGCGCATTCTGGAGGTTGATGTGCGTTGAGGCTCGGAGGACGATGTCATCTGCATACAGCTTGGCTGACACTGCCCTTCCACCAATGTTGATGCCCTTTGCCACCTTGCACTGTCTCATCAGTCGATTTATGAACAGGATAAACAATGATGGTGATAGCACACAGCCTTGACGAAGTCTGACCTAGACTGGGAAGGGGTCTGTTAGATGTTCTGCGTGCTGGACCCAACTCTCGCTTTGCTTGTACAGCAACCGACCTGATCATGCGTAGCAATGAGTCAGGAATGCTATGTTCACGCATCACCTGCCACATCAACTCACGAGGTACTCGGTTGTAAGCCTTCTCCAGGTTTAGAAAGCACATGTGGACAGGTTGGGCATACTCACATGACTTGTCGAGGAGTTGCTGCAGGGTAAAGAGTTGATCCACAGTCCCCTGCCCCGGGCGGAAACCTCCTTGCTCTTCTGTCACTCTTGCCTCGACCACTTTCTGGAGCTTCTTGTTCAGCACTGCAGCATAGACCTTCCCAGGTAGGCTGAGGAGGCTGATGCTCCAGTATTTGGAACACTTCCACCTGTCAAATTTCTTGATTATGGGTATGATGACCCCATTTTGCCAGTCCCTCGGTGCTGTTCCGGTCCGCCATGCCTTATTGCATAGCTTAGTTAGCCATGCAACACCCACAGGGTCCAGTGCCTTGATCATCTCGGGGCGAATCTCATCGATCCCAGCCACCTTGCCATTCCGCAGTTGTTTGACCGCGTCTGTGACGTTGGCAGCCGAGATGTCACCACAAAATTCTGTGAGCGACTCAACTGGTACCACAATCACCACTGTAGATGCGCCGGGCGGTCCAGACGCTCCTGGAAGTGCTCCTTCCATCTTTTGGTTACCATCATTGCTGATGTGGGCATTGAAATCTCCCAACAGGATTAAGGAGCCGCTGCACAGTATTTTAACAATTACTACGCCAAGGGTCTCTAGGAAACCTGGGTCGTCAGTGGGCAGATTCGGGGTGTAAGCCCAAATCAGTGAGAGTACACGTCCTTCCATCAGTCGTAGTTGTATCTCGGCTATCCTTTTGTCCACCGGGTTGAACTCCAGCAGAAAGGCCACGAGCCTGGGTTCAAGCATGAATGCAACCCCAGTATTTAGTCGTTGTCCCAGTGCCACTCCAGAATAAGCAATGCTCCATCTATTGTCAAGGGTCCTTGTGCCAGGTGGAGGTCAGCCTGGTTACATCCAGTCTATAGCGCTCTGCTTCCCGCACCAGCTCTGGCTCCTTTCCAGCCAGCTTGGTCACCGCCATTAACTTCCAAACAGGGCGACAAGTTTGCATTGGTTTCCTCATGTCCGAAAGGCACTGCACTAGTCGCTTGACCTTCATCTCATATTCATATAAATTATAATGAATTATTATATTTGAAATTATGCAGAACATGTTAACGGTTGGTTGAATTGCAGTTAATCAACACATCGCCAACACCACTCGCATATGCCGCTTCCATCTTTTCAATATCAGGAAAATTCGTCTCCTCATCACCATTACCGCTGCCAAATGTCTTGTGCACTCCCTAGTCTTCACTCGTCTGGGTTATTGCAACTCATTCCTGGCCGGTCTCCCTGCCTACACCCAATTCAAAAGTCGTTTGCACGCACCACTGTCTTTCGCCTCCAATTCACCACCTATTGCTCCCCTCTCCTTCAACAACTTCACTGGCTTCCTATTACCGTTGTCTCTTTAAATTGCTCAGCTTAGTTTTCACAAGCTGCCTATCTTATTGCTGTCCCACCTCGACCCTTGCGCCCAGCCTCGCTTTCGCTCATGCTCACTGCTTGCCCCCTTACACTGGAATAAGCTTCCTCTCCGCATCCCACTCTCCTCCTCACTTTTCTCTTTTCGCACTACCCTCAGGCTCTATTCTTTTTCTCTTGCCTTTTCACTTCCTCTTCCGCTACCCCGACCAGCACCATCTATCACCCTTAATTCCTCCACAGCCGCAGGCTCCACCTCACTCCCTCCACCCTAGTCACTACCCGATCCCCATCCCTTATTTTGCCATTTTGTACTGTAGTCAGCAAGCATTTTTAAGTACCTTAGTGAAAGGCGTGTTATAAATGCAAAATAGAATAGAATAGGCATGTTGTGTATAGACTACAGTTCATGCATTATACAGAGATACACACTATACATACACATACAGAGGCACAAAGATACATACACATAAACATATATGAATATACATGACAGTTACACATTCAGTAGACTTGAGAGGGGGAGGGGGTGCCAGATTTTAAAAAAATTACGGATAATCACATCATAATTTAAAATAGCTTATTTTGCACATCCTTATATTACATGTTTTAGGTGTTGTTATGTTTTTTTTAGTGTTTCAAATTTGTTTACGTTGTGAAATTGGCATAAATAAACATACAAATAGAAAATCATATTCTGTAAAAAGTTATTGTATTTACTGTATTGTGCTTACTAATCCAATCTCGAAGACTCGGCATGGGGTGATGTATATGCTGCAGTATTTTCATTGTTAAGTTGTATGTAGTGTACAGTATAAAGCACTGTATATAATATTTAACTTTGAAATCAAACATACCTACTTTATTTTGTCACGTACATGGTGCCGATCCCCAGACTAGTACTGCATTTGGAGCAGTTTTGCTGGTTTTGACGGATTGGCTGCTGGATAATGTTGGATCCCAGATAATTGCATGCCGGATAATCAATGATCAACTGTACATGCATTTAAAAGATAGACAAAAATACCCCTGTGATATCCCATGACTTCCTCGTGACCTCCTCAACCCCCTCTTGACCTCTCCATGCCTCCCTACAGGTACGACTGGTTTGTGGATATGGGTCTGCGCTGGTATGCGGTGCCAGCCGTGGCCAACATGGCCCTGGAGGTGGGCGGACTGGAGTTCACCGCGTGTCCCTTTAACGGCTGGTACATGGGCACCGAGATCGGGCTAAGGGACTTCTGCGATGCCGCCCGATTCAACATCATTGAGGTGATTGGACTTCCCTACCCACGTAGAATGACTCTCCTTTAACAAATAGTGCGCTAAATTGTTTTTTTTTTTAGCAGTGGCGTATGGTGACTAAAGGAGGAGTCAGGGGTTTGACTTTGTGACCTGGTGCGATGTTGGTGGTACTGGAGAGACAAAGCCGGGCCGGTGTGCGTGGTCCTAGTTACAGTATCCATGCCACACCATTCTTAATAGCTGCTTGCTAATGGATGTTTTCAAAAGAAATTTTAAAACAAGTCATCTTTGTCATCTGTCATGGATAATTTAATAGTTACCTTATGATGATTATTGTATTGTGTCCCACTTGCTGTTCCTAATCCCAGTATGGAGTTGGCCAAAATTATTAAGCAGTTAAAGTTGTCAGCTGTAACCTCCCACTGCTGGCAAAGGCCTCCCCCATTTTATTTTATTTCTTCCTTTTCCGAGTTCCTGTCTAGCAATGGCCTCCAAACTATTTGATATTGTTTCTTTATTTCTTCTGCTGAAAATGTTTTCGTGAGCCACTTAAGTTTTCACGGATCAATTAAGTATGTATTTATTATCATCGTGGGTTTTCTTGCCATTTTTCTATTGGTCCTCCCATGACTCCTGACTCTCTACTCTGCCTCCCTCCAGGATGTGGGCAAGAGGCTTGGTTTGGACACGGGGAACGTGACGTCGCTGTGGAAGGACCAGGCGGCCGTGGAGATCAACATCGCCGTGCTGCACAGTTACCAGGTGTCACACTCCCACCTGGTGTTACTTCTCAGGAGGTGTCACTTTTAACTGGTGTCACAGCACACTAGGTGTCATACTCTTGCCTGGTGTCAGAATTGGGCAGCAGAATAAACTGTTTTTGGAGACTGAAAAAAAAATAGTAAGACATTCGAAAATTGGTGATTAACCTGCTTAATGATTTTTTTATTTGCTAAAACAACAGAGGGCAAAGTTGTTATGAGCAGTGCCTGTGGTGATTTGACACATTCAAGTGTATGGGTTTACCAACTGCGACAGTTCACCACGTGCTCTGCTTGTGGTGACCATGCATTCTCTCACTGAGTCTAACTTTTATAGGTTTTACCATATTGGCTGCATTTGAATGCAAGCTGGTAAATAGGTTTGAGGGGTTTTAGCTTTGTTAGCCGTAGCCACCCACCACCTATGGTCAGAACTTACCAGATAACACGACTCCCTAGCTGTCACCCTCTAGGTGTCTCATATCTTGTTTGGTGTCGAATTTCACCTCGAACCAGGTATGGCACTTACCTGGAGCCAAGTGTCACATTTCCCCAGGTGTGACCTCTTGCCAGGTGTCAATTATACAGGTCCCATGTGTCGCAGCTTTCCGAAGTGACAGGCATCATCTCCCTCTGAAATACAATAAAATCAATAACTCCCGTTAGAACCTTGTGAGGTCCCATGAAGACAAGTAATTTTTGACAAGAACATCTACAGCAGCGGTCGGGAACCTATGGCTCGCGAGCCATATATGGCTCTTCTGGTCACGGCATATGGCTCCCAGACAATTTTGAGTTGAAAAAAAAATACAAAAATCAGTTTGGAACTGATTTTAAAATACTTTTGATATTGCTTAATAATACTGTGTCATTTTAAAGTAAACAGAAATTAGTTTTGAAGATAAATTTCACGGGTCACGGGGCCTCAATGCCTGCATGAAGCTCAACCTCACCACGTACGAATCAGACTACAAGGCCATCAGCAAAACCATGCAGCACCAGAAGTCGCATTAAAAGTAATACATATATTTGGCTTTTATGGCTCTCCCAGTCAAAAAGGTTCCCGACCCCTGATCTACAGGAATACCTTGCACTTTCGTCTGGTTAGGGACCGGAGCATGGACGAATGTCAAAAATGGACGAATGTCAAAGCAGAGCCTTTATTTAGCTTGCAAGTTTATTTTGGCCGGCGAAAAGCGTACGTGCAAATAACTACAGTAACTGTATAACACATGCGTGCGAAAACTAAATAAACAGAAATAAAAGAAAAATAAACATAAGAATAAATAAACAAAACGAAATAAATAAATAAACAAATTGCTACCTTCAAATATTTTTATTCTTGCGTAAGTAAACACTGTAGTATTATACTGTTATCACAAAAATAACAATGAATTGTTTACAGTATAATCACAGAAATAAGTACAGTATTAATAATACATGAATGAACACAAATATAAGAGATCCTCAATGAACATCTTATATTCAAAGACTGAACGAAAAAGATGGTGCGTGGCACAAACGTTGTGGAAGGTTGGATGAAATCGGACGAAAGAGGAAAGCACGTGGACGAAATTTTAAATGTGGTTATAATTGAAAATGGCCAAAAGAGCGAAGAGACGAAAGTCCAGTGGACGAAAGTCAAGGCATCGCTGTATTCCGGTATCATGTGTGTGTGCACATGTGTGTGCTCCATCCAGAGCGACAAGGTGACCATTGTGGACCATCACACGGCCGCGGAGTCGTTCCTCAAGCACATGGAGAATGAGTACCAGGCGCGCGGGGGTTGCCCGGCCGACTGGGTGTGGATCGTGCCGCCCATGTCCAGCTCGCTCACGCCGGCCTTCCACCAGGAGATGCTCAACTACACGCTCTCCCCATCCTTCCTCTACCAGGTGAGACACCTCCACCCTTTACCTGAGATTCCTCTACCAGATGAGAAACCTCCACTGTGCACCTAGCCTTCTTCTATGTAATAATGATACATTTAAATTTTTTTCTCACAGCAACCCGCATGGAGAAGATGGAAATCTGCGAACAAACAGCAGGCGATCGGACTCAAGCCACTGTCGATGTATGCGTCGCGTGACAAACAAGGAAACACGTGGCTCCACCATTTAAATATCACCACATTTACAATATCAGCATGTGGCAAGCACGATACTACTTTTACCACATGCAGCCACATGACACACAAGACCATGTGGAAAACACACCAGCACATGTCTAGTATGGTATCATGTGTCAAACCGGACATCATGTAGAAACACTGGCAACCAATGTGCAGTGTGCATTTTGCACAACAGAAAATTCAGCACCGTGGACAGTGCCACATGCTTTAACAAAAAAAATACAAACACAACCACATACTTAATTAATAATGTCGTTATCATGCTTTGCCTTGGGTATGGTAGTGTTGTAGATGGAGTGTAGGTAATTGCTGTTTATGTGGGAATGCATTGTTGTTTATGCGTTGATATTTCTGTTGTTGATGTTTGATCATTCAGAGCTGTGCATTTCGTCGCCACGTTGATGAGCCGTGTGATGTCTCGACGCATCAAGGCCACGGTTCTCTTTGCCAGCGAGACTGGGAAATCTCGTGCATTCGCCAAGACGCTGTGCGACATCATGATGCATGCATTCAATGCCCGGGTGAGATATTGGCCACTGCTGTATGTAAAGAATACTCGATCTGAAGATTGATTTTTTTATTATTGCATTCAACGCCCAATTAAAATCCCACCCACTGCTGCAGTGAGGTCCCCAGGGCCAGTTTAACAGCAATTCAGTTGGTACAACTAGAACCGTATTTGTATGAATGCATATAGAAGCGAAATGCTGAGGAATGGTGGCGTTTGTGCACAGACTATCCTATATTTCATCATAATAACAGTCTGAACCACTGGACAGGTTCCGCAGGGTTGGAAGGATGCCCTGGTGGCCCCCCTCTTTAAGAAGGGGGGACCGCACAGACTGTAACAACTACAGAGGCATCTCCCTCCTCAGTGTGCCGGAAAAGCTCCTGGCAAGGATTATTCAACATCGCCTTGCCAGGCACGCTGAGGAGAGGCAGAGCCCCAGTGTGGTTTCAGGCCAGGGCGGTGCTGCACAGATGCCATATTTTCTGTCATGTCTGCTACAGCAGAGGTGTAGGGAATTCCAACAGGTCCTACATCTTTGCTTTATTGACCTGGTCAGGGCCTATGATACTATCAATAGGCCTGGGCTCTGGGTTGATTTTATGCTTTCGGAGTCCCTGACTCTGCCCACAATCATTAAGGACCTTCATGATGATGGGCAGGCCCGGGTAAAACTATGTGGCTGAGAGTCAGAGCCATTCCCTGTTTACCTTGGGGTGCGACAGGGATGTCCTCTCGCTCGCACATTATTTAACATCTTTTTCAACCACGTAGTTTGTGAAACCTTCAATGGCTGTACAGGAGGAATCTCCATCTGGTACAGATACAATGGGAGGCTGATCGATGCCCGGGTGCGGTGAGGAGATGGCTCCCTATTGGTCAACCATGTTATATATCCTGATGATCTGGTGATTGCTGCTCACTCAGAGGAGGAGTTGGAGGCTGCTGAACCTGGAGCGTGCCACTTAGAGGTGGGGCCTTACTATCAGCCTCATCAAAACTAAGCATCTGCCTGGGTATTTTGTGTCATCAAACACTTCACCCCCTCAACTCCCTATTGGTGATAGGGCAGTTGTGGAGGGAGTGGAGAGTTTCCATACCTGAGCAGTGTGCTCATAACCGGCTCCAGTTTGATAGCAGAGATCTCACTGCGAATCATTCGAGCGGCATCATTTTTTCATCAGCTCCTTATCGCTGTGTGGAAGCTTCCTGGTCTGTCGCTCTGCATGAAGCTTCGGGTCTTCTCGACCACGGTCGTTCCCTCCATTCTCTATGCTTGTGAAACGTGGACTCTCCTAATGGAACATCTTCGCCGGTTAGAAACATTTAGGCTGGCCTGCATACGATCCATCCTGGGTTTAACCAGACTGGATTGTGTGAAAATCTCACAAATCCTTGATAGATCTGGACAAAGTCCCATCGGTGAGCTCCTCCGGCAGGAAAGGCTGCATTGGTTGAGTCATGTAGCCCGCATGGCTGAGTCATGTAGCTCACATGCCCAGCCACCATATACCTAAACAGCTTTTGTTTGGCCGGATATAGGGGTATAAACGGGCACAGCATGGGCTAGAGAAGAGATGGAGTGATGTGGTACAATAGGATGTGGAGCTGAGTGGACTTGCCAATGACGGCCTCTGTGCAGGAGGCTCGTAAAGGACGTTACTAGGCAGTTGGAGGCAGTCACCCTCCAGCAATAATGGAGGGGAGAGGAACGATGCTCACAACAACTAGCGGTGCACCGGGTGGATAAAACTCAGGAAGGTGCCACAGTAGGGGGCACAGGTGGTGTATCGGCCAGTTATCTCAGTCAACCAACCTATGGCACCTGGGTCTGTCTCGTGACTTGCTGCCAGTAGGTGTTCGACACTTCAAGTGGCCTTAACGTGCACATCGCCTGGCACAAGCACCGTGGTGATGTCACCGCCACTTCATGGCGAACAGCAGTTGTTGTTGTTGTGTACAGGTTATGTGGAAGCGGTAATGTAGCAGTTAGCACGCTGTGCTACGACCCAAGTTCGTTTTCGGCTCACAGCCAACACCAGTGCCGCTTATCTGAACTGGTCTTGGGCCTCCCCGAGGTCGACTCTGCCTCAAATGAGTACTTGGTGTGATGTGTTAAGGCTATAAGGGGGGCCTTGTCTTTGTACACGTTGTGCACATATATACAGTAAGTCTGGAAAAATATGGACAGGTTGTGTGCGTGTATATATGTATGTAAATGTGTACATGAACACATGTTTTGCATATATATCTACAGTATGTGTGTATAAATGTGTGTGTGTGTACAGGTGTTGTGCATGCAAGACTACAACATGGTAGACCTGGAGCACGAGGCGCTCGTTCTGGTCGTCACCAGCACCTTCGGCAACGGAGACCCCCCCGAGAATGGGGAGGTGAGGTCGAGTAATAGTGAGGAGATTGGGTTCGAGTTAAGATTCAGGGTCAGGGTTATATGATGAAGGTGGATTTGATGGAGGATCAGATTTTACTAGGATTGAGGCCAATAAAGGACCTACAGACCTCCCAGAGGTATTGTATTGTTGATGTTCATAATGTTATTCATGTTGTTATTTAGTTATTGTTGTGGTTTGTTGTGGTTGTGTTCATGGCGCAGGCATTCTTCAAAAACCTCACAACCTTGCTTCACCAGTGCTCATCAGCAGAGCAGAAAGTCGGATCCCTCAAGAATGTCAGGTGACAGAATGCTCAAATCCTATTTATTCATACTTGCTCGTCCACTCTACTGTTCACACTCACTATATCACATGTTTAGCCTTGTAGGGTCTAGGGTTGAATTGTGTTAGTAAGCATCTATCAAGGCCAGTGTGGCACACAGTATGGGTACTCTGGCCCTTTTGTCTTAGCAGTACCAGCAGACACTAATTTAGGGCTGAGTTGACCTGACCCTGAAGCCTGTATATTTCTAGTTTGCATGTTTTCCCTGTGGTCACGTAGATTTTTTCTGGGTCCTCCAATTTTTCCTTCCACATTTAGAAACATGCGTTTATAGTATTTGGCTGTTATAAATTTCCACGTGATAAGCCACTTCATTGAGCTATCATTTATTTTAGCCAGGTCACTTCTAAAAAAGAGCTACATAGCTCAGTGGGCTTTACCTGGCAAAATAAAAATAGTTTAGGTTAGAGGGGAGTTCAAGGAGAGATACAAATTCTGACAATATGCATCATTATTAGGTTTCGAAGCCGGATCGCAAGTATCGCAATGCACTGCTCGATGACATTGCACCACCAGTGCAAACACACCCAAAAACAAGGGATGGTGTACTCATGGTCTTTCTATAGTAACACCATAGAGATACATTTTGTCCAGGAAATATTGTGCACATTATTAATTGAATTGTTAGTATGACGATATGTCCTGTACAATAGAAATTGGTTTGTATCCTCATGCTTATAACTATGGTATTTGATGCATGGTAGCATCACAGTATGTCTTTGGTATGTTCACGAGATTTTTATGGCGTCTCTATGGGCCGGTGTCCTTCAGGTTCTCGGTGTTCGGGCTGGGCTCCCGTGCCTACCCTCACTTTGCGGCGTTTGGCCACGCAGTGGACGCGCTGCTGGGAGACGTGGGCGCGGAGAGGATCCTGCGAATCGGGGAGGGGGACGAGCTGGGGGGCCAGGAGGAAGCGTTCCGCACCTGGGCGCACTGCGCCTTCCAGGTGACGACGAGCATAACTCATAAGTCTACTCGAAGCTCAGCCTAAATCCAACTATAGTTATGCATTGAAATAAAACCATAAACCTTACTCTTATGCACCTGAGTGGACAACGTCTTTAAGGTGACAATAACTCTAACCCTAAGCATAACATCTAAGCCAAACACTAACCAAGTAATAACTCACAATTCTGAACCCAAGCCCTAACTGTAAATAAACCCCGACCATAAATATTATCATGAACCTCGCTCGAAGCATAAACTAACACTATCCATAAACTGTACTCAAACTGTGTATGAGTGTGTATTAAATGTGTATATATGTATACAGACACAGACTTACCACTCACAACCCGAGTGGTTTGTCTGTGTGTGTTAGTGGTAAGTGGCTTGGGCTCGCTAACAGCACTTACCTCTAAGCTCTGGAATGCTGAACTCGTTATCTTTGTCTTGGTGATGTCGTTTGGAGGAAGAGACACACATGCAGGATGATGTTAAGATTTGACATACAGTTAAGAGCTTCTTGGAGATGAGATACTTCCACGGAATGAGTATAGGTGGAAAGTTGTTCAATAGATGTTCTATTGTCTGAGGTCATTCAGCACATTCGCACCGTGAAGTGTCCTTTATTTTGTGTTTGTACACACAGGCTGCGTGCGAGGTGTTTCACGTGGGCGGGGGAGTGAGTATGGACAAGGTGGCGACCTCCCTGGCACGGAGTGAGCGGACGTGGCAGCCTGACCGCTGCCTCTTAGTGCCGGCCAGTGAATCTCCTGACCTCCTGTCAGGTGCTGAACACATCTTCCAGCCACCACCTCAACTATATGTACCTACTAAATTGATTAACTACACACAAAATAAACTGCTTAACCACTCATCTGATCACTTGTACAATCATTGGAATTGCCGTCCAACTTACTTGTGTAACACCCACCTAGCCTCTCACCAAATCCACCCATCTGCTTAATCATCCATTCAAACATCTATCTACGTAACACATCAACTCAACCTTGAGTGGTGCGAAAGTTGTTCAACATACAATTAAGCATACAATTAAGCATAAACGCAATAACTTACCCACCGACCTATGTGCCTGCCTACATGTGTATTATGCTAATCATTGTTCCTGTGTTTGACTCTATGACTAAGACCTCATATCCCTGATCCCTCGCCCTCTCCCCATCACACAGCTCTCTCCACGATCCACAAGCGAAAGATTTCCTCAGCCTCCCTTCTCTCCTGCGAAAATCTGCAGAGCAGCAAGTCCAGGTTAGCAACTGTGTGCTCTGGCTCAGATTAATACCACAGCTCCATAACTTGCTGTTAGTGTTTATGCTGCTGTTATTTTAGCATAGATGCTGTTGATTATCAATGTGCTATTGTTATATTTAGCCATTCTGTCTTAGTGCTTCTTTAACATGTTTAAGGCAGAATGGCTACAATAATGCTCAAATTAACAGAGCACTAAATGCCAAATCACGATCGCAAAGCAACACTGCTTAAAGCGATCATATTATCAAAACAATAAAAATACCATTTATCTCAGGAGTAACTGACAAATTAGCCCGTGTTTTGCAAAAGCAAAACATTACAGTAAGATTTGGTACAGTACACAAAATTCAACAACTAGTGACGTGCACTAAAGATTAATTACCTAAATTATCAACAGAAGGTGTATATCGGATTAATTGTGTATGTGGCAGATGCTACATTGGACAGACAGGGCGTAACGTTAGTGTAAGACTAAAAGAACACCAGAGAAATATTAAACTATCGCAAACACGACTGTCTGCAGTGGCAGAACATGCATGCCAACAGGGACACTCAATTGATTTTGACAACGTTGAAGTATTGTGTAAAACTAGTTACTACTGGCAAAGACTAATTAGAGAATCCATTGAAATTGAGAGAAACAGAAATAACTTTAATCGCTCAGACAGCTAAAGGCTTAGTGCGGCCTGGAAGCGTATTATTAAATAAGATACATTACAATTCCTTATAAGGGAAACACACACTAACTGATTACTAATGTAATATAATCACAATAAAGCACATGCCAAATGATTACTAATCTACAACTCACATCGTAACAATAGCCTGATTACTAATCTAGTATATAATTACAATAACCCCCCCTCAAATCTTTGCACCTGACGAGTTAATGAGTTAATGATGACGTCACACTGCTGCTGCTCTATATAAGAACGGGAGACACAGCAGAGCCTCACCATTCTGGCGAATTGCCCGATGAGGGGGAAACGGACCTGGCTTGCCAGGGGAGACACCAGGAGCATCGAGGTGATCCTTCCAGCCCGTCCGGATCTCAACTGAGACCTAGCCACCAGCCCCGAGGCCTGCGAGGGCCCTGACCGTGTGGCCAGGGATGACCACGCTGCCAAGAAGCGGGGACTGCTGGAGAATGGAGACGGAAATCGCAACAGACGAAGAGGGGAACCGGCGAGAGTCAAGGACCACGAGGGCCACCCAAGTTGCTGAAGGAGACCGGGATGACCGTACCGCCCAGCTTATGCTCGCAGCAGATGAAAAGGAAGCAGGGAGCCGCCAAGAGAAATGAATGCCACATGCACTGCTCAGGAAGCTAGGGACGACAGAGTCGGCCAGACGGTGACTGCAGGAGACAAGAAGAAGACGTGGCAAAAGCAGAGGGCCACCGACACCACCTTTGCCGCCGGAGGGGACTGGGGCAACCAGACCGACCCGCTGGCAGCAGGGGGATGCATGGAGGAGGCATGGAGACGGATGGAGGGGAACGTGGCGGAGGCACGGCAGAAGGAGAGGATGGAGGAACTGGATGGGAGGGTGGGAGCTGATGGAGTGGGTGAGGGAGGCCGAGGAGAAAAAGGTATGGCGTCCGGAAGCAGAGAGGCGGGCACCCCCGAGCAGAGGGTGGGGAACGAAGCCAGGGAGACGCCAGCAACCCTGGGGCAGGGGGAGGCCCGGAGGGAGAACGCGACAGTGGACGCTGGACCGGTGGGAGCTGGGAGGCCCCGGGAACGATACGGGAAATGGCGAGGCGGGGCAGCGGTGAGTCTGACACCACCTCATGTCAAACGACATAATTGTGTCAGAGTAATGATGAAGGACGAGGTAGCAGAAGAAGTGACCATCGACCGAGCAACCTTTGTAGGTCAATAATGATGGGCTTGCTACAAATAGAGCCGACAGACTTGTACTGTTTGATAACTCTGCCGGGAGGGAGGGCGTTTGATGTAAGCTTCAACTCAAGCCCCCTGCTACAAAGATGTATGACCCACTTCGAGGAAAAGGCGGAGGAGAAGCCATTGATATCAATGAAGCTACAACTGTTATCAGAGCTGGACACGAAGGTGGTGACTATTTTCCTATACAATGAAGCCCTACATGACCACGACGTGGAGGTCTGGCTAAGACAGCACTGCTCGGTACTGTCGGGCTGTAAAAAGGTGAGGGACTCAGTGAGGATATGGACAGGGGCAAGACAATGGAGGGTGCGGCTGAAAACAGAGGGAGGGACCTTGATACACATCCCGAGTGCCCTGAACATAGGAGGCAACCGGGGATATGTTGTGTATGCCGGACAACCTAAACTGTGTAGGAGGTGTGGGGGCAGTGGTCACCTGGCCGCAGTGTGTAAGACAAAAGTCTGCTATAGATGCAAGGCACTGGACCACGAGGTAGAAGAATGCAGTGTTCCGGCACAATGTAACCTCTGTGGTAGCCGAGAACATCTGTACAAGAATTGTCCGGAGTCGTACGCCAACAAGGTTAGGGCGTATAGGGTAGGAGGAGCGAGGGATGAGGAAGGGGGTGGGACCAAACTGGACCCGGATAAGGAACTGGTGAGGGAAGGACGTGGGGAGGTGGCTGAGCGGCAGCCACCAGCAACGGACGGAGGGGGAGAAGGGGAGAGGCATGCAAAAAGAGCAGAATCGACATCGAGCGAGCAGGAAGAGGGGCTGGCGGGGGAGGGGAGCGACGGCATGGGCAGCATCTCCGAGACGACCGTGGAAGACTGGGCGGAGGCGGTGGAGGAGGATGAAGGAAAAGGGGAACGACAGCAGGAGGAAGGCGGTAGCGAGACATGGGAGGGACCAATCGGAAGGAAAAGGAGGATACGGAGAGCCCCAAAAAGAGGCGCCCCTTCAGGCAGCATGGAATCCTCGGACTCCTCGCCGGACACAGAGGCCTCGAGGGAGGGGATGGAGGAAAGGGTGGAGAGCCGGCGCAGGGGGAAACCCTTGAGAACAAGGGGCAAAATGAAATTGCGGGAACTGGCGAATGAAGACGGTTACGGAGGGCGAGCGGAGAAGGCCACTTCGGACTGAGACACATCCCAACATGGAACTTTCCGTGGCATTCGTAAATGTGAGGAGCTTGAAGGGAAAGGGGAGGAGAGGAGCAATAATACAACTGCTACAGGCTACCAAGTGGGAGGTGGTCTTCTTCCAGGAATGCCACCTACCATACACCCTGGGCCGGGAGGAGCTGTTGGAGAGCTGGGATGGCTACTAATTTTGGTCCGGGAGTAATGAAAATCGATGCACGGGGGTGGTTACCCTCCTAGGCAGGAGGGGTATACAGATAGTCGGGTCCCAAGAGGTGATCCCGGGCCGCCTCCATTATGTGGACGTGTCTTATGGAGAGGCAGACCTGAGACTAATAAATGTGTACGCCCCCACGACGTGCACAGAAAGAGTGGACCTATGGAATAATGTAGCGACCCTACTCGTGACGAGATGGCAAGTCATAATGGGGGTGATTTTAACTGCCCGTTGTGCCTGGTAGACCTATTATCGGTGGCTGGGAGGAGGAGGCTCGACCCTTCCTCTAGGAAGTTGAAGGAGCTGATAGAGGATTTTAAAATGACTGACACCTTCAGAAAGGTACACCCGGTGAGACCGGGATACACGTGGTCGGATAAGGGCGGTAGAACGCAATCACGAATAGATTTCATCTTTGTGTCTGCCAATGTGAAGGTGGATGGAGCAGACCTGGAACCCTTCCCCTTGTCAGATCACAATTTGGTGAAGGCAAAGCTTGGTATTCCAGGTGGCCTGAAGATGGGGAAGGGAACCTGGAAAATGAATGTAAGCCTGTTGGAAGACAGAAGGGTTGTGGAAGACTTTGTAAGGAAGTACGAAGACTGGACGACCCTGCAGGAATGCTTTGCCACGAGAGTGGAGTGGTGGAGCATGGTGAAGGGCCGGATAAAGGCCCTCTTCCAGACACATAGTAGAAGGAGGAGTGTAAACAGGGAACTGCAGCTGTGGAACGCTAGAATCGAGAAGAAGCACAGGTTACTTGAGCTGCGATTCCCGGTGGGTGAGGATATACGGAGATTGAAGGGAAGGTTATCCTCGGTATTGGAGAAAAGAGTCAAACAAATGGCATACAGGGCAAGGGTCAGGGCAACGGAACAGGGAGAGAAATGTACGAGTTTCTTCTTTAAGAAATGCAAGGCAGGAGACAACACACTTAGGGAATTGGTGAGTCCGGTCAGAGGCAGGCAGGCAGCGACAGAGGGCATGATAGAGATAGCGGAGGAGTACTATGGGGAGTTGTATGGGAGGAAGGGAATGGATAAGGGAATAAGGGAGGCACTACTAGGGGAGCTAAGACATGAGGTTAAGAACCCAGAGGTACTGGGAGGGAGGATCCAGATGGAGGAAGTGGAGGAGGCAGTGAGGAGGCAGAATAAGAATAGGACGTCAGGACTGGATGGAATTCCAGCAGAATTCTATATTACATTCTGGGATTTAATGAAAGGGGACATGCTGCAGATGTATAGGGAAATGCTGGAGGGCGGACTGGTGCCAGAAGAAATGTGTGAGGGGCTCATCACACTGATGTATAAGAAGGGGGACCGGAGAGAGTTGGGAAACTGGCGTCCAGTTACGCTCCTGAACTCGGACTACAAGATTATGGCAAAAATAGCTGCGACGCGCCTGGGGAAGGTGGTGGAGGGAGTAGTCGAACCCGACCAGACGTGTGCGGTGCCAGGAAGAAGGATTTCGGACTCTCTGATTTTATTAAGGGAGGCAATAGAGGTAGAAGGAGAGAGGGGATGCCCCCTAGGGCTTCTTAGCCTGGATCTTGAGAAGGCTTTTGACCGCCTCTCGCACGAGTATATGTTCGCAGTGTTGGAAAAAATAGGAGTGAGGGGACCCTTGGTCGATTGGGTGAGGCGTCTTTACCAAGGGCTCAAGACCAGACTACTGATAAATGAGGAGCTCTCGGGGACAATTTCAGTAGAGTCAGGGGTGAGACAGGGGTGCCCGATGTCCGCGGTTCTATTTGTAATGTGTATGGAACCACTTGCACAGGCAATGAGAAACAATGAGGAGATTAAGGGAGTGACCATCCCCGGGAATAAGGAACAGGGGAAAGTGGCGCTATAAATGGATGACGTAGTCGTGCTCTGTAGGGACGTGGCATCAGTGTGGGGGGCCATGAAGGAGACAAACCGCTTCGGCCTGGCCTCCGGCTTGAAGGTGAATGCGAGGAAGAGCGAATTGATGGCCTTCGGGGACCCGAGACTATTTCAGGGCCGGCCGCCTGAGTTGGGGATAAAGACGGAGGAAGTCAAGGTCTTGGGAGTGTCCTTTTGCCGAGAGAGGTCGGCGGAACGAAACTGGGACAGGAGGATAAAGCAGGTAAAGGGACAGTTAGGCAAGTGGGCCGGGAGACGGCTCACGATGGAAGGGAGGATTCTGGTAGTGAGGGTGGTGGTTTTACCAACACTCAACTACCTCGCATATGTGTACCCGCCAGGTAGGAGGGAGGCAAGAATCCTGGAATCGCTGTTGTTTCAATTCATTTGGGGAGGCGGGATGGATAGAGTGAAGAGGGTGGTGATGTGTAAACGCGTCGAGAACGGGGGGAAGGGTGCCCCAAATATTGCACGTGTGCTGTCCTCAATTTTTGTGTGCAACACTTTGAGGTTATTCTTTTCCGAAGAGCCCCAGGGGAAGGCCGCTTGTTATTTAAGGTATCGCCTGATGTGGCTCCTTAGGGGGCTTGGGATGACCCAATTACCGCCCTTGGCCTGGCCACAAGGATGGCTGAATGCGGCGGTGGGTGACTACATAAAAGAGTACAATTTGAGTCAGAGAGGGGGACCGTGGAACTCCAAGGAGGTATTGGCCAAAGTAAACGAAGGGGAGGCCTGCGAGGGGGTGATGGGCGCGAAGAGGACTATGTACCGTCAAGTGTGGAGGAACACTTCATCAATGGCGCTCACAAAAGAACAGAGAGATCTGTCCTGGTTGGCGGTGTGGGATAGATTGGAGACGAGGGGATTCATGTTTTCTCGCCGAATGGCACGTTCGCCCAAATGCCCGAGGGGCTGCAACACAGATGAGCACGCGGTGCACGTCATGGTGAGGTGTCCCTTCGCACAGGAGGTGTGGAGACTGAGCAGTCCGCTGTTGTCCTGGTTTTACCCGTCGCAGGTGATTAGTCGGGACATTATGTGGGGAGTCTTAAGGGAGGTGCGGGGAGATGACAGAGATCGAACGTGGGCCATAATAGGCGCGACAAAGGAGGCCTTGTGGGGAGCTCGCAGAAAAGAGTTGGATGGGTCCCCTATATCACCGTTGGAGGTGTGCTACTGGGCGAGGAGGTTGCTAGAAAGGGTGATGGAAGTAGACCGGGTTAGGCTGGGATACAAGGCCGCAGGTGTGAAGTGGAAGTGGCCCCTACCCGGGGTGGGGTAGCGAGGGGACCGGCGGATATAGGGAAGGGATAGTGAAGGATGGCCATGCACATTTTAGCCGGCCTGCTAAGTCGTGTGGGCGAGGAATGTACGTGTTCGATCGGGGGAAGGCGATGTGATGGAGCAGCGCATGGGTGAATGGTGGTGATGAATGTGAAGAAGGGGAACGGGGCGGTGTGCGTTATGGCGGCGAGCTTTTTTTGTTGCATTGTATGTGGGTGGAGCCCGCGGATATGACGGAGACTCGAAGGGGCCAACCGGGGTGCCCGGGAAGGAGTGGTTTTCAGTACTCTCTTTGGTTTTCCTTGTACCCGCTGAGAAGTTAATAAAAACCTTTAAATCGCAATTACCAGCGAAACGTCGTACTCAAATTGTAAATGTTGTGGTTTCACGCTTCAACACACCGGTGGGCTAAAGCAGTGAACTATTTTTCTTTTGTCAACTTGACACTTTTTTACTGACTGGCCGTGTCGGGTGGTGGAGGGTTACGACACATTTATAAATAACGCGATCTAAACCCAAAAACGTTGATTATGAATAATATTGGTCGCGAAAGCCTACGTGTTAAGTTGATGTTGATGTTGACGTTGATGTTGACGTTGATGTCTGTGCCCTTGGATGCCGGTGAAGCCGCTCCACGGTGCTGGTTCGCCTGGATGTGCACGGTCGCCCGGAGCTGAGCTACGAACCAGGCGACCACCTGGGTGTGTTCCCGTCCAACCGGGACGAGCTGGTGCACGAGCTGCTGGCGCGACTCCAGGACACATCGCCTGCGACACAGATCATGCTCCTGCAGGTCTCCCGGGAGCTCGACACTCCCTTCGGTGAGTGCAGCTCTCCTGAGTTCTCAAGCTCAAGGAAGAAGCTGCTGTCTGGGGTTCTGAATCTGATGCAAGTGTTGTGCTATCTCGGGTTCTGAATTTAATGTTGCAACCAAGCGGATATCCCTGGGTATTGTAAAGAGCTATGATGGAACTTGATCAGTTATATCCTATGTCCATTCGACATTGCTGCTGTCTTCTAACTTACTTCCCATACTTTTTGCTGATGATATTAACTTGATTTTATCACTCAAGCATTTAAATTCACTAATCAATGAATTCAATACAGGCATAGTAAACTTTTCCGAATGGTTCCAGAAAAACAAATTATCTTAAAATGTAAAAAAATCCAACTTTATGATATTCACTGGTAAGAATAATAAATATTGTAAAAAAAAAAAGATCCAGAATCTCTATATTTTTGGTTCTTTCGGTAAAGTCACGTAGAAGGGAAATAATAAAATAATATAAATATTGTTTTTTTATTTTATATTTATATTATTTTATTACTTCCCTTCTACGTGACTTTACCAAAAGAACCAAGAATATGAATCCCTGCAGTCATGAAAGCTTTAAATCAAAACCAGAATCTCTATTACTGGGAATTAAATGGGTCAGGTTTCATCCACTAGATTGCTTGGAATATTAGTTGATGGAAAATTGTGTTGAAAAGATCAAATTCACTTTGTCTGCAGTAAAGTAATGATGTCCATTTGTATCATCAGAAAGATGGGTGGTCTGGGTCATCAGGCCTGCTTCATAAATCTATACTACAGCTTAATTTACCCATATCTCATCTATTGCAATATTGTCTGGGTCAATGCATATGCTTCCTACCTACATAAGTTACACATCATCCAAAATAAATTTGCAAGACTGGCCACCTCCTCAAAGTACTTGGCTCCATCTGCCCCGATATTTAAGAAACTCAATTTCATGTCCATCTACAACATTAATATACTCCAAATATGCATCTTTATCTATAAATGCACATACCTCCGCGACATCTTACCGAAACCCTTCAAAGTATTCTTCCAGGTTAATTCCCAAATCCATGCATACAACATGAGACACTCCGATCACCTTCACCCTACCCATTGCCGTACCACGCATAGTCAATTCTCTATCAGATATAGAGGTTCTGTACTCTGGAATTCCTATCTTCACATTGACAAACTATCATAAACGTGCTCACCAGCTTAAAAACCAGGCTACAGTCTACATTATAGACTGCCAGTACACTCACCAAGGTTAGGAACCAGGCGACAGTCTACATTATAGAATCCCAGTATGCTCACAGATGTTAAGAACCAGGCTACAGTCTACATTGTAGACTGCCAGTACACTCGCCCAGATTAATAACCAGGCTACAGTCCACATTAGTATTTTTTTGTTTTTATTCTTTTATTTTTTATTATTTTTATTCTAATTTTTATATCTACGTGACATTACCGAAAGAAGCAAAGAATATAAAAATATCATCATCCCTCAATAACTTCAAGCATAGACTACGGGTCAGCCTAAAGATCCAAACTACCCAGTAGTCCCTCCATGTAGTCTAACTCTTACATACACATACGCACACATGCACACACAAAGACACGTTTTTTTGAACACTGAGTTTAACATGTTTATTTGTAATTAGTATGCTTTGTTTAATTGATTGGTGAATACGTTTTGTATATACATTGTTCTTTTTTTTGGTGTGGTTTCCATATAAGCCCTCTTGGGTTTCCAACTTCAACTGCACATGTTTTTTTACCTTCTTTATTTGCACTGTTTGTTTTTGCTTTGTTTTTTGTGCGAATAAGCAATACAATACAATTTATGTTAGGAATATGTTAATGGGTAGAGGCCTGCGTCTCTGTTCTCTAAAGACAAGATTTACCAAAAAGGAACAACTTTCAATTCCTGACCATGCATAACATCGGTGGCAAGTGCTATGTGAACTTGGCCTGGACCTCATTTAAGTTGTCTCAATCTTACAGTGGCATGAGGTTTCGTGATTAATACTGCAGGTTTGTTAATCATAAAAATACACATTGTCTGCATCATCGTGAAAGTTAAAGATCTAGTGATGTCATTTGTCATTGCATGCTGCATCATGGTACAATATTGCCAAATTAGAAAAATGCCCTACAATTTACTAAATTAAAATATACATCGAAATCCTCGCTCCTTACTGTAAGGACCCTCCTAAAAAGAGTTATGAGACTCAGTGAGGCTTTCCTGGGTAAACAAGATCAATAATCAAGTATTTGTGGTCATCAGCAAATTGCAAACAAAGGCAACCACTCTTCATAACGTCACGGTGGTGAGATGTTAACTACCTCGCCTGATATGCAGGAGGTCGTGGGTTCGATCCCGACCCTGACGCCTGCTATATATTTGGTTTGTATGTCTCTCTCCCCATGGTCGCATGGATTTTTCTCTAGGTCCTCTGGTTTTTACCTCCAGATTTAGAAACATATTTTTAACGTATTTGGCTTTTATAAATTTCCACATGATAAACCAATTCGTTGAGATATTCTTATTTGTGGCCAGATCGCTTCTGAAAAAGAGCTATTAGCTCAGTGGGCTTTACCTAGTAAAATAAAAGGAATTTTTGGTAAAAAAAGCATTGTTTATTTTAATAGGTGCTCACTAACAATCATAATCAGAATCTTCATACTGGAGGGATTTGAGAAGCTATAAAGCTCTTTTTCACAGATGTTCAGTAGTTTTCACAGATGTCCAATAGATTGTTGGGACACTATTTGCGACTAGATTCAATACTTGCCCCAACAATCTGGTAATCCCTTTTCCACTGTAAATCCGAGTTGAGATTGCACGGTGTTCATGGACTATTTGCCATATTGAGCTGGAACCAAACAATGATGCGCAGACCTCCCAATACGTCTGAATCTGGTAGGTCAGTCAGTAAACTCTGAGGAAGCATCACTACCATGTCGTCTACATATGACTAGTTTCAAGCATTGTTTATGACGTCAGCAGGACAGCTGGTCCTACAGTGGAAAATCAGTCCAGTGCCTCCTGAACCATGCCAGGCTCATGCGCGGCACGTCCCTAGCATGGCTTGGCTGTACAGTGGAAAAATTGGTATTATTCTTGCTTGTGTGATGCAGGCACGGTGAGCGAGTGGCAGGCTGAGGGGCGGCTGCCCCCTTGCTCGCTGGCGCAGGCTTTCTCGCACTTCCTGGACATCACGACGCCCCCGTCTCCACAGCTGCTGCTCCACTTCGCGGGGCTCACCGACGACGAGGAAGAGCGCAAGCGCCTGCACCTCCTTGCCAAGGTGAGACGGGGGGGGGTAAGATACATGGGGTAGGATTCAAGAGGTAGGATTCAATGTTGTAATTAGGTCAGGGCTAGTATTTTATTCTTCAGATCATAGGACACACTTTTTGCCCTTTGTTGTTCTAGCACATATCTGTCATTTATTTAAATATTTGATTAGTCTAGGGTATTATTGATTTTCTTGGTTCTTTCGGTAAAGTCACGTAGAAGGGAAATAATAAAACAATAAACAGAAAACATAATAAATACAATTCTCAATTTTTATTATTTTATTATTTCCCTTCTACGTGACTTTACCGAAAGAACCAAGAAGATGAATCCCTGCAGTCACGAAAGCTTTAAATCGAAAAATATTATTGATTTGTTATACACAATGATAGAAGCCAACCTTATTGTTCAGATTCTTAGGTTGCTCCCATGTAAGGGATGCATTTGATACATTTGTAGTGAGTCCAACTGAGTCGCGGACGTTATCTTAGGAGCAACACTATTTATTTACACAACAGTACGTACCATAACACAATCTACACTCGGGTCTCGAATGCCCATCTAACCACGCTACGGCAGAACTAGACACGATTCGCTATTCCGGTCTGGACCACAAGCTGGGTCCCAGACCGCGTGACTCGAGACTTCTTCTCCCCGACGTGGATCTTCATAACACCTCGAGCACACGAAGAACCCCGAGCTCCTCACGGGGCCCTTGTTATATGCCCCCGGGCTGAGGCTGGCTCCTCCCTTCGCCACGCCCACCTTTCAGGTCTCTCGAGCTTCATCTCGAAGGTTCCCGAGAGCTCTTTTGGACCACCGGTAGCCCCCCTACAATATCATCCAGTCACATGTCAGCAGGTCAACCAGCGTATCATGCCCCACGGTAAACCTGGCTGGCTGACGCTCCCTCTCGCTCCCTCACTGGGAGCTCGCACCGAATTCAGCTCGCGGTGCCTCCGTGCTGACCAGCGCTCACCCAGACTGGTACTACATCCTGTAACCCAGACTGCACATAATGACAACACATTACCCGCCGTGGCTTCTTAAGCCCAGGCACCGTACAATGACAAGCACGGTCACTACACATTGTTCAACCACACACATGAGAGTCATTAAATAGGCAACTGACACTCAGTCCAAAAAATACTTGATACTGTTATACAAATAAAAGTAAAAATAAATTAATCAATGGCTTCATTCAGAATGCAGGTTAATAAGGCATCACCTAGTACACAATATGATGTTTATTATAAGGCAAACAACGCAACAAAGGTAATCTTTCAGTTTGTAGCAGATCGTCTCTCGCGCTAGTATTGAGGTGACAACGACAAGCGTGGAGGAATTTTCTGTGCTAGCGAACGTAAACGCGTTGTACACCATCTTGCAAACAGTGCAGACAGCAGGTTGATGAGTGACACAGCAGCAGCCTAGTGGTTGATGCAGCAACTGGCGACTTGCCAGGTTTGGTCGGGTCTTGACGACGTGTAGAACGATGATGTTCTTCTTTATTTAACATCCACTGTATAGATGTATTCACCATGATAAATATGCCAGGGCTTGGTGGTTTACAATACCTTTTTCTTTAGCTCGTGTCACCCATGATATGTGACCTTGTGGCACAGTTCGATGCATAGCCTTTCCTTCTCCAGTAGGAAAATGTGGATTATCTTTTTACTCCAACATTTCTTCTGTAACACTCACCTAAAGTATCCCTAATTTCGCTTGCCGTATATATTGACTGTATATTATTTGACAACTGCAAATACTACAATTACAGTGAGGGAAAAAGTATTTGATCCCCTGCTGATTTTGTACGTTTGCCCACTGACAAAGAAATGATCAGTCTATAATTTTAATCGGTAGGTTTATTTGAACAGTGAGAGACAGAATAACAACAACAAAATCCAGAAAAACGCATGTCAAAAATGTTATAAATTGATTTGCATTTTAATGAGGGAAATACGTATTTGACCCCCTCTCAATCAGAAAGATTTCTGGCTCCCAGGTGTCTTTTATACAGGTAACGAGCTGAGATTAGGAGCACACTCTTAAAGGGAGTGCTCCTAATCGCAGCTCGTTACCTGTATAAAAGACACCTGTTCACAGAAGCAATCAATCAATCAGATTCCAAACTCTCCACCATGGCCAAGACCAAAGAGCTCTCCAAGGATGTCAGAGACAAGATTGTAGACCTACACACAAGGCTGGAATGGGCTACAAGACCATCGCCAAGCACTTTGGTGAGAAGGTGACAACAGTTGGTGCGATTATTCGCAAATGGAAGAAACACAAAAGAACGTCAATCTCCCTCGGCCTGGGGCTCCATGCAAGATCTCACCTCGTGGAGTTACAATGATCATGAGAACGGTGAGGAATCAGCCCAGAACTACACGGGAGGATCTTGTCAACGATCTCAAGGCAGCTGGGACCATAGTCACCAAGAAAACAGTTGGTAACACACTACGCCGTGAAGGACTGAAATCCTGCAGCGCCCGCGAGGTCCCCCTGCCCGTCTGAAGTTTGCCAATGAACATCTGAATGATTCAGAGGACAACTGGGTGCAAGTGTTGTGGTCAGATGAGACCAAAATGGATCTCTTTGGCATCAACTCAACTCGCCGTGATTGGAGGAGGAGGAATGCTGCCTATGACCCCAAGAACACCATCCCTACCGTCAAACATGGAGATGGAAACATTATGCTTTGGGTTGTTTTTCTGCTAAGGGGACAGGACAACTTCACCGCATCAAAGGGACGATGGACAGGGCCATGTACCGTCAAATCTTGGGTGAGAACCTCCTTCCCTCAGCCAGCGCATTGAAAATGGGTCGTGGATGGGTATTCCAGCATGACAATGACCCAAAACACACGGCCAAGGCAACAAAGGAGTAGCTCAAGAAGAAGCACATTAAGGTCCTGGAGTGGCCTAGCCAGTCTCCAGACCTTAATCCCATACAAAATCTATGGAGGGAGCTGAAGGTTCGAGTTGCCAAACGTCAGCCTCGAAACCTTAATGACTTGGAGAAGATGTGCAAAGAGAAGTGGGACAAAATCCCTCCTGAGATGTGTGCAAACCTGGTGGCCAACTACAAGAAACGTCTGACCTCTGATTGCCAACAAGGGTTTTGCCACGAAGTACTAAGTCATGTTTTGCAGAGGGGTCAAATACTTATTTCCCTCATTAAAATGCAAATCAATTCATAACATTTTTGACATTCGTTTTTCTGAATTTTTCTTGTTGTTATTCTGTCTCTCACTGTTCAAATACACCTACCATTAAAATTATAGACTGATCATTTCTTTATCAGTGGGCAAACGTACAAAATCAGCAGGGGATCAAATACTTTTTTCCCTCACTGTAGATTTAGCATTTCCACTGGTTTAACACAATACCTCCTGCACTGCTTTACTACTATACCTCTCAGTTATTATTCGGCATTTAGTCCATTCTCCTGCAATGCACGACTTCTATCGAGAGCAGCTCCACATGCAAAGGAGTGTACGCTACCTGGCCGACATGAACATCAGGGGGCTGGCCCCTCTGTGTGCTCTCTGCACTCCGGCGCCTCAGACCTTCTCATCTCTTCTCTTCCCTCTTCTGTTGCTTCTCCTCTCACATAGCCCACTGAATACTCACTGTATGAATGGGCCAGTGTGTAAGATTTAATCATTTGTTTCTTATTTATGTTTCTCTCTTGTGAGACAATGGAGACCTTAAACATCTACCAGACTTCCACAGCTTGGCCCTCACTCCATCCTCCTTTTTCAGAGATAAGGGTAGTATTTGCTTATTTCTTGGCATTGAGTCCCGTGCCTGGTGTGGTAACAGCTGGATCATCAATCTACTTTCCTTTCTCCGAGGTACCGGGAGTTTTATGTTTGTTTGGCCTCAACTTATGTGTCTCGTGTGGCCACAGCTTGTCAGTAGAAAGTAGTGCTCTGGAGTAGGGGAGCCTCCGGCATGCTATGAGCCAAACTTCATACCTTGTTAGATAGCTCTCAAGTCAACTTAGATTATATATACTCAAACAACCATGAACTAATCAATTACAATTTTCCTCTTTATCGTTGTGATTATCATTATTATTATGACAAGACATTATATGATCGAGACTTATGTAATCCTTCTTAACACTCTTTTTTATAAGGGTATATTCACAACACCACGGTTTTTTAAGCTAAAGCTAGGGATGCATCTTTTATAGTCTGGTAGGTGGGTGTTGGTGACCAGATCGGTGTAACTCTACTGACACCTGCCATGAGTTTGGGGTGCATCTCCTTATTTTCTGGAGCATCGTATAATGCAGAGAATGTGGAACATCACAAAGAGCTGAGTGCCAGGTTGGCGCTTCACTGAGCCGCCACCACTGCGCTGCTCCCAGGGTCAGCAGGCCTACGAGGAGTGGAAGTGGAGGGGCAACCCCTCGGTGCTGGAAGCGTTGTGCGAGTTCCCCGGCGTGCGCGTCCCCGCCTCGCTGCTCGTGTCTCAGCTGCCGCTGCTGCAGCCACGCTACTACTCCATCAGCTCGTCCCCGCGGGCGCAGCCCGGACAGATCCATGCCACCGTCGCTGTGGTCTCCTATCGCAAGCACGGTGAGACGTGTGCCCAGCACAGAACTTGGGGTGCCTTGCACAGGGCACCGATGGATGAAAGGTGACAGCAGGGGTGTCGTGTGGTTGACAGGCCCTGGTTCAAGGAATGAAATGGGCTCTCCTCTGCCCATTTTCCCCTCTCTTCATCGCTTGGTACCTGGGCCCCTTCGTCCAGTGGACTCTGATGCAGTTGCATAACCTGCATACTTAATAGATACACCACTCTTATTATAATTATATACACAGGAAAGCCTCACTGAGTCTCATGACTTTTTTCAGGAGGGTCCTGCCAAGTTTTTGCAGTTAGGGGAATGATAGCTATGCAGATACATGTATTTATTTTAAATTGCCAAATTGAGACCATGATACTGGCACACAATGACCTAATCTTGCAAATGATGTCACAGGATCATGAACATCCACTATGAAGCAGCCGGCACGTAATTTTTTTTTAACTAATACACACCACAGTATTAACTAGGGCAGCAACTGGATTTGAACTGTGAACTTCTGCAACAAGCGACGAACGCGCTATCGCTAGGCCATGTCGCCACTATCTTCATGTGTGTGTGCTTGTAAATATGTGTGTGCTTTTTTGCTGTATACATAACCATGTTATTTATGCTGATGATCTATGTATGCTGATGATCTGGTAACTTCTGCTCACTTTGAGGAGTTGGAGACTCTGCTGCTGAGCCTGGTACATGCCACAAAGAGGTGGGGCCTTACCATCATCCCCACAAAAACACAACATCTGCCTTGGTATTTTGTGCCATCAAACACACCGCAATTTAAACTCCTCATAATTAATGGGGCAGTTGTGAAGAGAGCGGAGGAGTTTCCAAACCTGGGCAGTGTGCTTATGATCAGTTCCAGTTTGGCAGCAGAGGTCTCACTTCACTGTGTGTAGCTCCACACAAAGGTCCAGGTCTTCTCAGCCACAGTTATTCCCTTCTTTCTTTATGCAAAACCTGGACCCCTCTGAAGGAACATTTGGGCCAATATGAAACATTAAGGCTGGCCTACCTAATATTCATCCTTTGTTTAACTAGGTTGGATTATGTGAGGAAATCACAGATTTTTCAAAGATCTGGACACTGTCCCATCGGTGAGTACCTCCAGCAAGCGAGGCTGCTTTGGCTGGGGTACGTGGCCCGCATGTCTAGCCATGGAATTGCCAAGCAGCTACTGTTTGGCCAGATAGAGGGGCTAAACGAGCATGGCATGGACTAGAGAATATATTAACTGATATAGAATTGAAGGATATGGAGCTGAGTGGATTTGCTGATGGCTGGTACCAGCAGTATTAAGATCAGCTCCTATGGAGGAGGCTAGTGAAATATGTGACTGGCCAGTTGGAGGCAGTCGCCCTCTAATAACAGCGATGGGCAAAACGGAGTGCCGAGCGGCTAAAACGCAGCAAGTTGGCACAGTAGGGAGCACAGGTGTAGCCCGCATGCTCAGCCACCGCATACCTAAACAGCTTTTGTTCGGCCGGATCGAGGAGGCTAAACGGGTGCGGCATGGGCTAGAAAAGAGATGGAGTGATGTGGTACAAGAGGATGTGGAGCTGAGTGGACTTGCCGATGACTGGTACCAGCGGTGTCAAGATCGGCCTCTGTGGATGAGGCTCGTGAAGGACGCTAGTGGGCATTTTGAGGCAGTCGCCCTCCAACAATAACGGAGGGGGGAGGAGCGACGCTCACAACAACGAGCGGAGCGCCGGGTGGCTAAAGCACAGCAAGTTGGCACAGTAGGGGGCACAGGTGGTGCATCAGCCAGTCATCTCAGTCAGTCGACCCGTGGCACCTTGGTCTGCCCCGTGACCTGCCAGCGGGCATTCGACACTTCACGTGGCCTCAACGTGCACATAGCCTGGCTGGCACAAGCGTTGTGGTGACGTGACAGCCACTTGGTGGCGAATGGCGGTTGTTGTTGTCAGTAAACAGTGGTGTAGCAGTGGTTGGCATTGTCCTTGTTTTATTTTTAGTCATTATTGACCAGGCACAGACCACCAGCTTGCTACACTTGAGAACCCTGTTTAATTACAGGCGGCTGCAAGCCCGATTTGAACCCAAATTCTTAAAGGTTGGGAGCTGAGTGTGTTCTTGCACGGTAATAGCCCTCTACCCACTTTAAGTGCAGAATTTTAATAAGTTAATAATTTGCACTGTAAGATGCACTCAGTAGAAAACTGTAAATGTCACTGATAATGATGATGGATGTTGCTACTCTTGAAGGTGATTGTCTTGGTGATAATAATGAATGCTATTATTGCTGCTGCTGATGATAATGAATGTTCATAGCGTAATAACTCAAGTCACTCAATGCTCATGTCAGTAAGACACAATAGATGTGTGAGTAATTATGAAATGATAACGATCAGCGTGCATATAAGCAGCACAATGAACCCAGATTGCTAACTTTCAGCGCACCTCACCTGTGTGTGCCAAGCCATCTGCTGTTTACATCGTTGGAATTCTGCCTGCGTCTTTGAACACTTGGCAACTTCCTGAGTTCATATCTTAAAGGGGGTGGGGGCAGCGGTGGTCACAGTGGTTATTCGCTCACCACACTATGAAACCGGTAACGCAAGTTATTCATAGCCATGGCTAATATTAATGGCGAGTAGTCTCTGAACTGGTTTTGGGCTGTCCCCATCTTCACCAACCCGCATTGACCAGCGTGGTGAATAATGGTTAAAAACGACCCCCATGAAACTGACACGGTGTAGGAAGGCCTTCATCAAGCAGTGGATTGACAAAGGGCTGTGCTTAATTTTTATCACGTGTTAAGTACACATGCTATTGTCTTACAGTTGCATTGCCGCGTCTCACACCTGCGCGTCATGTGTGACTCCACGCCAAGTAATTACAATGGATTCATACAGAAGCTGTTGCTGTTATTGCTGTTGTTTCTGCTGATGCAGGTGTGCGAGTGTACGATACTATCGGTCTGATTGTGATGCGTTGACAATGATGGTTGCCCCCCCTCTCCCCGTCCCGTGACCCTGTGACCCCTATGTTCTCTGAGCAGGGGGACATGGGCCCCTGCACCATGGCGTCTGCTCGTCCTGGCTCAGCCACATCGAGCCCGGGCACAGTGTGCCCTGCTTCGTGCGCCCGTGAGCTGCCACACAAACACTTGGTGACACGGACACAGACACACATTTGGTGACATGGACACACACACATTGAGATCGATGTTCGGTTGCCATGTTGAAGGCATGCATAGTGATTTAGCACTTAACAGAGTGGGCCTTGTGAAGGCATCTTCCACTCCACATGAACCCTATACCATAATTTAAAGACCCCCCCGTATATCCGTAACAGACTGATGGTGAAAGTGTTGTGAACAAGCAACTAATAAAGGCTGTGGTCAGCTACACACATGGCTCCCCTTTTCTAGCCAATATTGATGTATACACATTGCACCAAGTACTAAGTTTGAAGGCTAGTCGACCTTGGGAATGCACCTGAGAAGTTCTAATTCCACTTGCCACTTATTTTGAGTGGGAATAGTAACCAGGTTGTCGGTCATAGTGTAATGTAGTAACGCACAAACGAATAGCACAATGACGCACACCCTGAAACACCGGGACATCTTAAATACACACATACCTCTATCTCGACACACACACACAGACAACTGAATTGTACACCAGAACAGATTGACATGCCAGAGAGCATCTCAAATGCATCGAGGAGCACAGCAAGTTTCCTCTGTATCTGCAGTAACAGTGCCACTCACCCACCAGGTCAATGCCTCTTTTGAAATTCTGCAACCTTTGATATATTTCTCACATGCATAGTTTTGCCAAAATGGATAAATTGGTCCTTTTTAATATTTATATATATGTCCATTATTTTTAAGTCTTTGAGGTTGTGCAATGGTTTGGGTTTAATATGAAGAGGTCTTGGAGTTAATTAACTCTGTCACAGTGCCCGGCGATGCACACAGGCAGGACTGTCGCACACGTGAGCTGGCCAGACATCAACACAATTAATTAAACACAATGTGTTGAATAACGCGAGTCCTTCATCTCTCCAGGACAACTAGCCTTCGTCTCAAGACTCCTCTTCAGGGCAAACCTACTTAAGATATTTGCTCATTTTCATAAGTTTTTTGACAGCCATCTTGTCAAACAGGACCCTGCGGGGTGGGCTCGTAGGAATAATACTAATACCGGTACAGGGATATCGACCGGGTATAGAGGAGTTAAAAAAAAATGATTTGTGCATGGGGGGTGAGCGATGACGTCCACACCCCCCTCCCCACTGACTCGCGCGCACACAGAGCAATGACGTCAACACCCCCCTCCCCACTGACTCGCGCGCCCACAGAGCGATGACGTCCACACCCCCCTCCCCACTGACTCGCGCGCCCACAGAGCAAGGATTGCAACAGGCGATGTCATTGGTTGCGCCGGATGCGATGGCCATCTTGTTTAGTTCATTTAGTTCACGGATCGCAGGGGGAGCGGGCGGCCATCTTGTCAGACAGACGGACGGCCTCGCGAAGCCTGTCGCGGTAGGCCTCGCGAAGCCTCCTGCACTAGACCTCGCGAAGCCTCCTGCAGTAGGCCTCGCGAAGCCTTCTGCACTAGGCCTCGCGAAGCCTTCCCTGCAGTAGGCCTCGCGAAGCCTTCTCTGAAATAGGCCTCGCGAAGCCTTCTCTGCAGTAGGCCTCGCGATGCCTTCTCTGCAGTAGGCCTCGCGAAGCCTTTTCAGCAGTAGGCCTCGCAAAGCCTGCCGCACTAGGCCTCGCGAAGCCTGCCGCACTAGGCCTCGCGCCGTGCTTTTCGTGCACAAATAAGGCGATTAAATGTATCTTGTCTCTGTGTTAATAAATGTATCTTGTCTCTGTGTTAAAAAAACGTGCTGCGTTTCAGTAAAGTAAATTTGAAGCGAAGTTTATTATTACACTTGTTAAGCCAGGAAAGCCCCACTGAGTCAAAAGGTTTTTGTAGGGTCCTGCCAAGTGTTTGCAGTAGGGGGCGATGTTGCTACACCAAATCGGACGATACGAAGGGAGAGATTGAGGCCTAGTTCTAGGCTTTAGGCCTAGCTGTAGGCTTTAGGGCGCTGTGAGTTAATTTTTAATTTAAATGTTTTAATGATTTATGTAAAAGCTTTAAATTTAAATGTTTCTATTTAAAAACATGAGGGAATGTAACATTGTTAAACATAACTCCCTTTCACACACGCGGGGGTACGATACGAAGGGAGAGTTTCAGGCCTAGTTCTAGGCTTTAGGCCTAGCTGTAGGCTTTAGGGCGCTGTGAGTTTTTTTAATTTAATTTCAAAGTTTTAATTAAAAGCTATCTCAGGGAATAAGGGAATGTTACACGTGTCATGCCAAGTGTTTGCAGTAGGGGGCGATGTTGCTACCAGGATAGCGTCACTGAGTCTAAAGGTTTTTGTAGGGTCATGCCAAGTGTTTGCAGTAGGGGGCGATGTTGATACACGGACGGACGGACGGACAGTCGGACGGACGGACGGACACATTAATCTATTGGTGGTCTGGTCCACTTCGTTCCTACCAGTATAAACTGTTGGGTAAAGGCCTCCCCATGCCATATCGGTCATGGGGATGTGTTTGACATGACTTTATCACACTACTCAGGATGGGCTGGCGAAGTCAGGGAGTATAGATGTGGGAGCATAGATGTAGAGAACAACAGTGGATATTGCTGCACTATCCTTTGCTGCCCACCACAAACCCCTGCAGCCTATAACACATAAGGCATTATGGTTATAAATCCAAGCACTATTCATGCTCGCTACTGATTCGTTTTTGAGATTAGAATAAATGTAGAGCATATTGGTATTATTTGATCATCAGTAAGTATCTTTAATTTAGCCAAGCTGTTAAATAAACCCATGGGTTAAGGGTTGTGTTTTAGCTTGAATGAATTGGAAACTGATGGCTCTAACTGACTCATCAGTAGCCCTCATTATTCGTGACAATTGCCTGGAATGTTGGCTGATTGCACGTTGTTGTGCCAGTTATGATTTAGAAAGCTGCCCAAGGCTATGAAACTGCACTGTGAGACGTGTGTTACTTTCTGGGCGCAATATAAATGCGCGTTGTTGTGATAGAGTGTTGTCAATCATTGCAGTTATTTAGTATATGATGATCGTGGTGGCGGTTTTTGTCATGGCAGGGCCCCGGGGTTCCGTCTGCCCTCTAACCCCAGCCTGCCCTGCATCCTGATTGGTCCCGGCACGGGCATCGCTCCGTTCCGCGGGTTCTGGCAGGAACGGCTCCACGACATCGAGCACCGAGGTGCTATCACACGCAACCACAACTACGGTCCAACCACAACCACAATGCAACCACAATGCAACCACAACCACAATGCAACCACAACTACAGTTCAACCACAACTACGGTTCAACCACAACCACACCACAACTACGGTTCAAGCACAACTCAACTACTACTCAACCATGACTACGGTTCAACCACTAGTCAGCCACAACTACGGTTCAACCACAACCACTACTCAACCACGACTCAACCATTACTCAAGCACAGCTATAGTTCAACCACAACTCAACCACAACTATAGTTCAACCGCAACCACAAGGTTCGACCACAAAAAAACTTTACCACTACTCAACTACAACTACTGCTCAACCACAACCCCACCACTACTCAACTATAACCTTAACCATTATTCAACCACAACTAAAGTTCAACCGCAATCACTACTCAAGCACAACTACAGTTTCACTACTACTCAGCCACAATTATTATCAAACAAGCACTGTTCGACCACAACAAAAGTTCAACTAAAACCACTACTCAACCACAACCACCACTTAGCCATGACTTAACCCTAGCCACCGCTAATCCACGTATGTGTGTTTGTGTGGTGCAGGTGTGCATCCGTGCGGGATGATGCTGCTCTTTGGTTGCCGGGAGAGATATGTGGATGACATCTACCGTGATGAGATGGAGCTCGCACGCAGCAAGGGCATCTTCTCTGAGGTGCACACGGCATACTCACGGGAGCCCAGCACCCCCAAGGTGAGCACCATCACCATTACCACCATAACCACCATCACCAGCATCACTACCATCACTCACGCGAGCCCAGCACCCCCACGGTGAGCACCATTATCATCACCACCATCATCACCATCACCAGCATCACCACGATCACTCACGCGAGTCCATCACGCCAAGGTGAGCACCACCATCATCACCACCACCATCATCACTCATGCGAGCCTAGCACCTGCTAGGTGAGCACCATTATCCTCACCACCATCACCATCATCACTCATCTGCCTTAGATGAGGTTAGGTGTGTCTGATGTCTCATGTTTGGGCTGCATCTGTGCCCCCCACACTGCCCCCGCCCTCCCCCCCCCCAGATGTACGTGCAGGACCTCCTGCGTGAGCGCTTGGACGCGCAGGTGTTCTCGGTGCTGCAGGAGAGGGGCGGGCACCTGTACGTGTGCGGCGATGTCACCATGGCGGGCGACGTCCTCAAGACGGTGCAGCAGGTGCTGAGCCGGCATGGAGACATCTCACTCGAGAAGGCCGGGCAGATCGTGAGCCGCCTGCGGGTACGTGAGCGCCAGCGGCTTGACCGGCAAGGACACGGGGAACGCACGGTGGGGGGGGGGGGATGTGTGAATGTTTGAGGCGTGTGCGTTGTTTGAAGTGGTTTCAGAAAGATGCCAGTATTCCCAATGAAAAGCAGAATACATAATAGTTATTTTATCACATTTAATGTGTAACTTATATTTTGGAGAAAAAAAATTGTGATGAAAGTGTAAAGGAACTCTTGGTTTATGTTAACATGGGAAAAGGGGCTCAAAACACTGCGCCCGATTGAATCTGGTGAAGAATGGGTACCAGCCCAATTGGTAGGGGAAGGGGGATTGGCAGGCAATGGTGCGACCTTGGCACAATAATGCCGGCGATATGGCATGGGTTGGGGGGTTTTGGTGACCATGTAGTGGAATGGCTACTTTGCAGGTGGCCGCTGGCATGAGCACATACCTGCTATGAGTGTCAGAAAGTCGGCGTGTGAGGGGCTGCCGTGTGTCTGGGTTGAGAGGCCACTTGTGCGTGAGTTTTAATGGCTCTGGCGCCAGGTTGATTGAGTGGAGTGTGGGTAAAAATGAGTTTGCCCTACTTGCCACTAATATTGTGTGAACTTTTTGCTCACACCACAGGATTGGTGTGGTAACCGAACCACCACTTGTGCTTCCACATGTTCCCTCGATCCGTGAACGTTCCGCACACCATAGCACTTGAGCCTACAACATGGCAGTGCGTTACAAACACCACATAGCTGGTGTTGTAACTGCCCCTTACGTTTCTCCTGTGCTTTCCAGAATGTTCCCTTGCTTTCTGAGCATTCCTCACATGATAGCGTCTGAGCCCACAGGATGTGCTGAAAAAAACTGAGTGGCTTGCATGAAGAAAATTTAACATATCGAAAGGAAACCACCCACTTTTATTCAGCACATCAAATGTGATTAATTTTGGGGTCATAATTATTTATTTTCAACTTTTGCGTGCAAATAAAATTGTGTGCATTGAAAAACTTAAACAAATGTTTTGCCATGAAAACTACTAAACTAGTATTTTATTTTATCAGGTAACGCCCGCTTGAGCTATCTAGCTCTTTTTCAGAAGCTACCTGTCTACAAATGATAGCCCAATGTCCGGTCTCAGGATTCAGATATCGCCGCATGATACAGTTCTTACAATTAAGATACGCATGCATGAACCTAGGAAGGAACCACTCAGACTATTTCTGTGTTAAGCGAATTTAATATCTAAAAACCTCTAATATGCGAACAGTCTTATCATCAGAATTACCACAACAGTATTCATGCAAATATCGTACTCCTCGATTCGTACAAATACAAACATAAATGGTCAAGTCTTATGGTTGCGTTGTTGAATAGGGCAACAGAACGATCGGCTAACTTCTCATGGCAAAATTCATACAGAAACATGCTAAAGAAATGTGTGCCCGATGGCAAAACAAATTCACTGGTAAGATTATGCGATTAAAAGCAATATCTCAAAACAATCGTATTCATGCGAGTGTATAGATTCAGAAAATAGATGCTTATCAATTGACTAGTAGGACATCAATGAATTCATTGGTAGGATTATGCGATTACAAGAAACAAACAATTAAATACTTCTAACGACCGTATTCATGCAAGTTAAGGGACAGAACAATGCTTCTCAACGTCCGGTTAATACTTAACACACCACCTTCGAATGGCAACCCTATGTGAAACAAAACACTGCGGAACAACATTATTCATACCGATTTGCGCGTCGTGTGTGTATGTGTTGGAAGGGCAGTCACCACGAGGTCCAATCATTACAGTATATCGGGTAGTATGGTTTGAGTTTGTCCACGTACGATCTCTGCACATGGATCACGTTACCAACTGTGGCTCTGGGCTCGAGAGAGCAATGGGCGGCTTGTGTCGCGTGTTCCCTTGTACCGAAAATACCTCAGGTCCCCAGCAGGGGGCGTTGGGTCGACGGGTGTGTGTCGGCACATGGCGTGTGACCACTCGGGCTGCGCGCCCGTTCGACTCCGTCCACAGTTGGAGTGACTGTCGAGTCGGCACGCTGGCGGCTCACCGCTGGCTGCGGCGCCCGTGCTGGCAGGGGTCGATGGGCCAGGCTCATTCTGCAGCGGTGTGCATGGTGGCCACGTCGCCAGATAGTGCTCGCAGATCGTCCGCCGGGCGGCAGCGCGTCACCCCCTTGGCACCAGGCACGGTTGACCCTTGCAAACTGAGGAGCGGCTGGGAAAGACAACGCCCATCGTGTCTTCCCCCCTCTTCTCGAGAGTTATCCGGCAGTTGCCTGCATTAATTGTAGATTTTAAGCTTTCATGACTGCAAGGATTTATACTCTTTGGTTTTGGATATGAATATGAAAATAAATATAAACTGGCTGTCTAGCAGTAAGCTGCACGGCAGCTAAAGTTTCACTTGGTTAATTACATCCTTCAATATCCCCAGTCTTCTACTCCCAGCTTTACACACTACCATCACCATTGTCACACGTTATTTCGAGCATGCAAGTTTAGCTTGCGCCTTTCTAATTTTCCAGATATACAAACATAGACATAACTTCAACTGAGATGAGGGATTCAAATTGAGCAATCATTTGAAGGATGTAATTAACCAAGTTAAACTTTAGTTGCCGTGCAGTTTACTGCTAGACAGCCAGTTTAGATTTATTTTCATAATCATATCCGTATTCCCAGTCTGTTACCCCCAGCTTCACACACTACCATCACCATTACCACACGTTAGTGTTCATCTTGCGCATTTCTACTTCCCCCCCCCCCCCCGCAGCATAACAAAAGGCTGCTTAATCTTAGCTTTCTTATCTAGTAGTAGGTTTTTACCCTTTTAAACTGGTACAAAACTGACACCTTTATTCAAGGCATCATGTTTGCAATAACCACAACACAAGTAGTCAAAAAAGCAAACATAAAGAAGCAACTCTGATATTGATAATAATATGCACTGTCCTTGAAGTTGATTGGACCACACCCGAGATGGCTTTCTTTAGAGCCTAGTCCCCATTGGTGTTGGACCAGATGACACCAGAAGGCGTACAACTCAAACACAGTGCAATATCAGAGTATTGAGCGCTCGGGGTAAGCATTTACACTATGAGATCTCTTTTACCAGTGGCAAAATATAGTAGTAGGTTTTTACCCTTTTAAACTGGTACAAAACTGACACCTTTATTCAAGGCATCATGTTTGCAATAACCACAACACAAGTAGTCTTTCTTATCTACTTCCGCCCCCTGCATCACAAGGCTTCAGTTTGAGCTCCATGCGTTGCCTCCCAACGCCCTCCCCATTCTTGGAAGGATGTAATTAACCAAGTTAAACTTTAGCTGCCGTGCAGTTGCCTGCATGTCTCATACTCTGCTCGGTGAACACGCTCCAGATCCGGTTCTCTGGTTCCGCGTCAGTCTCTGATCCGACCCTCAACTGTCCTTCGCCTGTGGTTTGGCGAGGTACTGGGCACACTCATGAATGGTGGTTGCTTCAGGTCTCCTCTCGGAGAGGTTGACTTTTATCGGAGCACTAGCAGTAAGTACCCGGCATTGCCTGGGCGAAAAAGACAGACACACACATGGACTTACACACAGACATCAACCCACACACATAGAAACACATGGACTTACACGCACACACACATACACATATGGACTCACACACACAGACATCGACTTTAGACACACACATGTAGTTACACACACAAATCGACTTACACACACACATATAGACTTACTCACACATACATACATAAACTGAACAACAACAACAACCGCCATTAGCCACTAAGTGGCGGTGACATCATCACAACGCTTGTGGCAGGCTATGTGCACATTGACACCACGTAAAGTGTCGAACGCCCGCTGGCAGGAGGTCACGGGGCAGACCCAGATGGCACAGGTCGACTGACTGAGACGACTGGCTGATGCACTACCTGTGCCCCCTACTGTGGCAACTTGCTGTGCTTTAGCCACCTGGCGCTCCCCTCGTTGTGAGCGTCACTCCTCCGCCCTCCGTTGTTGTTGGAGGGCGACTGCCTCCAACTGCCCAGTAGCGTCCTTCACGAGCCTCCTCCACAGAGTCCGATCTTGACACGGCTGGCTCCAGTCATCGGCAAGTCCACTCAGCTCCACGTCCTCCTGTACCACATCACTCCATCTCTTCTCTAGGTCCGTGCCTCGCCCATTTAGCCTCCTCGATCCGGCCGAACAAAAGCTGTTTGGGCATGCGGTGGCTGGGCATGCGGGCTACATGACTCAGCCTTGCCTGCCGGAGGAGCTCAACGATGGGACTTTGTCCACATCTTTCAAGGATTTGTGAGCTCCTCATACAATCCAGCCTGGTTAAACCCAGGATGGATCGTAGGCAGGCCATCCAAAATGGTTCTAACCGGCGAAGATGTTCCATTATGGGGGTCAAAGTTTTACAAGCGTAGAGAAGGGAGGGAATGGCCGTGGCCGAGAAGACCTAAAGCTTCTTGCGGAGTGATAGACCAGGTAGTTTCCACACAGCGTTACGCAACCGATGAAAGATAATGCGGCTCGACTGATTTGGAGTGAGACCTCTGCTGTTAAACCGGAGCTGGTCATTAGCACACTGCCAAGGTATGGGAAACTCTCCACTCTCTCCACAACTGCCCCATCACCAATTGGAAGTTGTGGGGGTGGAGTGTCCGATGGTATATAGACTCACACACACATTGAGCTACACAAACACACTTATGGACTTATAAAGACACACATATAAACTTACACACACACATATCGATGCACACACACACATGGACTCTCATACACATATTGCCGTACACACATCGACTGACACACATAGACTCCCACACAAACATCCATGGACTAACACAACAACCGCCATTCGCCACTAAGTGGTGGTGACGTCACCACGACGCTTGTGCCAGGCCATGTGCACCTTGAGGCCATGTGAAGTGTCGAACACCCGCTGGCAGGAGGTCACGGGGCAGACCCAGGTGCCACGGGTCGACTGACTCACACATGCACAGAGCCACACACGCATGGACTGACACACACACGTAGAATTACGCACACACATACCCATGGACTCACATGCACACATGGACCAAAACACACACACAGAAATAAATGGACTTACACTGACTGACATGGAGCGACACACACACAGCGACTAACACACACGCACACCGATTGACACAAACACACAGACATATCGACTCACACACACAAACACATCGACTCTGATACACAGACAAATGGACTCACACACATTGACTCACACACAGACACATCGACTTACACACACACATCGCCGCAGACACGCACATCGACTCACACGCACACATGGACTTAGACGCAGCCATTATTATTGTGAAAATAATTAACTTCATTTAAAAATAGTAGTTGTCTACACACGCACAGCATGCACACACATTGACTAACACACACACATCGACTTACGCACACACACATCGACGGTATGCACTATCACTACAGCAGTGCATACCGACTGTGGTGGTACCTGCTTTCACTACAGCAGTGCACACGGACTGTGGTGGTACCTGGTATCACTACAGCAGTACCTAGTGACTGTGTTGTAACCTGCTATCACAAAGGCAGTACATACTGACAGTGGAGGTGCCTGGTATCACCAGAGCAGTGCATACTGACTGTGGTGGTACATGCTTTCACTTCAGCAGTGCATACATAAGTGGATGGTACCTGCTATCAGTACAGCAGGCATACTGACTGGGGTGGTACCTGTTATGATAACAGCAGTGCATACTGTGGTGCTACCTGCTTTAGCTACAGCAGTGCATACTGAATGTGGTGGTACCTGCTATCAGTACAGCAGTGCATACTGACTGTGGTGGTACCTGTTATGATAACAACAGTGCATACTGTGGTGGTACCTGCTTTAGCTACAGCAGTGCATACTGAATGTGGTGGTATCTGCTATTATTACAGCAGTGCATACTGTGGTGCAACCTGCTCTCAGTACAATTGTGCATACTGACTGTGGTGGTATCTGCTCTGATAACACCAGTGCATACTGTGGTGGTACATGGTTTAACAACAGCAGTGCATACTGAATGTGGTGGTACCTGCTTTCACTACAGCAGTGCATACTGTGGTGGTAGCTGCTATGATTACAGCAGAGCATCGTGTGTGCGTTGCTAGGGGCAACCCATGTGAGCAGTGCAAAGTGTAATAAGATAAATGCTTATAAGACTAATTTGTGCGACTTACATCTCATATAAATGCATATAATACAAAAGTGTGCGACTTACCTTTGGCGATGGCGCGTGTGGATTGGTAGGAGGTAACGTAGTGGGCATTGTGCACAAGTGCAGCTGGCTGCGTTGTCACCCAGCGCGAGGCGAAGGGAAATAAATTAAAAGTAGGTAAACTAATAAAAGATCATAAAACAATCGCCAAAAAACGCTAATTTAACGAATTTAAAGTTGACGGACATGAAAAAGGAATATCCTATTCCCACCGCGGGGCTTAGGGCGTGCTGACTGGCAATTTTTTTTCGTCGTCAACCCCACCGTTTGAGAGCCAAATCCCTCGCAAGCGCGCGCGGAGACTTTTAAATATAAAAAAAGAAAAGAAAGAAGAAGACAATAGGAGCGATCTTTGCACAATGATTTTGTGTGAAGGCTGTATCAAGCAACCTCGCCACCGGGGAGCAATCTCGTTCACAGTACTCTCCACCACGTATTGTATCGCAATGCCACAAGCGCAAGCCTTAGCTTTGCAGTGACTCCCCCAATGACACGTATAAAATAGAAGGGAAAAAACCTTCCCGTGATGCGTAGAGTATGTCAAAGCAGAGCTCCCTACTATTGTCAGTTACGAGGGTAAGTCTCGGAGTCTGCCTGGAGCAGATCTAGTTTGTATGGTTTGGCTTCCTCACATTCGATATTTTTCCTGCCTCTTGCTTCCTTCTCACAAAGGCTTGGATTATCCTTTGATTTAGCTCCTTGGCTCGTCATTGGTCACTTGCTGTCCTTTTGATTTCCTCTCAAAAAAGTGCCGCTGTTCCCTTGAGGTCGTGAACATTCTGCTTCCCGGGTGTGTACGTGTCTGTGTCTTCACCACCGCCATATTTGGTGCACGTTGTGAGCAGCGTTCGCAGCACTCCCGTCGCGGTTAGAACTCTCGCACAGCACTTGATATATCAGAGGGAGGCGCCGCCCGCATAACAAAATTTCCGGCTACCACATGCTATGATAGCTACTGGGAAGACAAAGGCGGTCGGTTAAACCCCTGGGATAAATATTATTTTGGTCGCAGAGAGTTGGCATAATTCGTATTATGTATTTTCCTGAGTGATCTTAGGTCTAATACTTCCATTATTGTTATTTGGTTTATGGTTAACCAAGATTTGTGGCGTACAGTAATTCTTACCAAGGATATTCCGAGGGTCCTATTAACCTTTTGTTCCCCATCTGTATCGCCAAAGACGCACACTTCTTATTCTCAAGTTATCTTTTGATATTATGATCTTGAGAGTATGGCTATGCTTGTGACTCGACTGGTAAACTTTTAAACTTTCCCAAAACTGGGCTTGTAATGATTAACCGCCCTTATCCGGATCCTGTTGTCTGGTGGAGGCCTCTTTCTCCCTGTGGTTCTGTAATTATTCCTCTACGAGCTTTGTCCCACCCTTACCCTTTTGACTGGTTGTCCCTGCTGTGTGTAGCTGTTTTCCCTGAGAAGGGAATTCCAGGGCTTTCTCAAGACTCTCATCAGTCCACATTCTGTAGGCTTGGCACTTTAAGTCTCACTGTTTGTCCTTTCATTGTTCCTTAACTCTCGGAACGCGTTGAGAAAAGACAGGAAAAAAACTATTACATTGAAACAGGCAAATATCACTCTGAATATATATATTTTGGAAAAGGCATGTATACAGCAACAGGCAATCCATGACATACGCGATAGATTCGTCCCTGGAAAAACACGTATATCTAAAAATCGTGTATGTCAAAAACAATTTTCCCATAAGAAATCATGGAAAAGGAGTGGGTTAGGGGATTTCACTCACACTGGCAGGCATAATCGCCGACATTATCCTAGCATATATAGGTATATTGCCAGTGACGTTCCCCTTTTATATCTCCCTCTCAGTCTTAATTATTCTGGTGTTCTCTTGCTACAGTATCCTCTCATCAATTATCCCTTCACCACCTGTGCCCCTTCCTCTCTGGATATTAGACATCCGGCCACCTGTGTTCTTATTTATACCTTCACAACTTGTTTGCTTTCTAATTCCTCTCAGCGCCTGTGTTCTTTCTATTTCATACATCTTTAATAGTTCTGTGTAACGTTTCTTCTCCATTTAGTCCATTACACTTGTAACTATGCTGGAGTTGCATTGTGGAGACAGGGAAGAGCGCCGGTAGTAAACACGCAGCGAGATTCTTACAGTGTAGCACTCTAGTTATTGTACCGGACTGGCTGCTGGCAACGCCATTGAGTGCCAGGCTAGGGTGACGTATGTCACGTTGCGGATGACGTTATTCTGTAAATTACCTCGTATGTGTCAATAAAAGGTCTAAATACAAAGCGCACTATTCCAAAATGGCGTACCACAAAAGCATGTAAACTGAGGATTGCCTGTATTTAATATTTTTATTATACAGAGTACTCAGCCGGTGGTGGGAAGTGTGATCATGTGTATGCCCATTTAAGCACCACATCATCAGCAGGCACTGCATATACACGTGTGAAGCTAGGGGTGCGGGAGTGTATTTTAATCCATAATATAGCCAATTACTAAGGTTTGTCACGTAAACAGAACATGCCAATTCGTTACTAGTACAGCACACCAGTGTGTTTGAGAGAAAATCCACAACATTTACAATCTGAGTACGACGTTTCGCTAATATTATGGATGACATTGATCACGAAAGCCTACATGTTAACACAGGGTATTTTCAGCGCTATATCAATTACAATACATTATTTTCCCTATTCATATTCTTTGGGTCTTTCGGTAAAGCCACGTAGATAGAAAAAAAGAAGAAAAATAATTATTATTTTCCCTCCTAGATGCTTTGTTTCTGTGACTGGTATGTCATACTGTTCGTTTTTATCTTACCGGTGCATACCGCCTCTCTTGAACCACTGGTCATGTGTGCTTAGGGTACATGAATTAGCACTATGTGCACTCAAAGATGACACCTGTAATGCTTTCCTGCCAGTGTATTCCAAACTTACAAGTTGTTACCCTATCCTGTCATGCATTTCCTAGAATCCTCTGCATGTACTTGTATATAAGAGCCAGAATCTCTCCTGATTTTTGTGTCCCATCCATCCTCTCCTGACCCCATCCGCCCTTTTCTGACCCTGTAGAAGGAAGGTCGCCTGCACGAGGACATATTCGGAGCGAACCAGCGATGGCGCGGTGTGGACTCACGGCCAAGTTCTACCCCACAGGGGTAGGGGCAATATCATGGGCAAGCTACACTTGTCCTTCACGAGGCAGTCAGTCTGGAGTCCTCAGGCAATGCTGTGCTCCTTTACGGTGGCAGTTTGTGGCTCAAGTCGTCGGTGGGCAGTGCCAGTTCCACAGCAGTTTGATGATGGTGGTGGGGGAGGATCATACAGCTTTCTCTTAGCACATGACCTTCGAACGGTGGCTTGTCATCTTCCAGAGGTGGAATTATTTGTGCTCATTTTGCTTTGGTGTTTTTCAGTGTAGGAAGGGTTTTGATCAGCCAATGACATGTCTAAACATGGTTATCATTGGGGAAACAAACCAGGCACCCAATATATAGATTCTATTTTAATTGATTAGATCCGAGTTGATCCAAAATGCCAAAAAAAAAGTTACTTGAATTATCCATTTATCTAAATATTTGGAAAGACACTTTTATTTTAAAGTAATGTATATTCAAAACATCTAAGCAACTTGTTTTTAATATTGTAAAACACCTCCAAAAATATCCTACGAAGACGAAGCCTCCACTGCTCCTTGTGGATGGGGTGATGAGTTTCTTCCTGCATGATGTTTCGATGTGACAGCTCAGCCCAGAGGCCGAACAGTGCATTCTGAATGCTGTCTCTAATTATCACTAGATCTGGCTAGATGGCTAGATGAAGTGAGGCTTCCTTGAGTACATTTAATTACCAGTGTTATTTTTTGTCACAGTAATTCTAATAAAGCGTTATTGTGTCTTTCTGAACTAAGTGAGCGTGGGGCAGTGCTCATCTCCATTTGAGGCCATAAGCTGGCAGTAGATCTTATTGATTCCCATAATAATTTACATGTATAATGCACCATGGTTTTTTGCCATTTCTCTCCGTTGTTGAGCACCACTTTGTAGGAAGTCAAGAGTGGTTATCCGATAAACATGCTGGCCCTGGGCCCCATCATGGGAATAGGAAATTTCCAAAATTGTCTTGGAGGTGATTTTTTTTTTATGGGCAGATGTAGATTATTTCACTTTTAAAAACAATTGTGTAGATATGCAGGTGTATAAACCAAGAAAAAATGTACGACGGCATATGTTATTTTTGAAATTATATTATACGCAACTTAAAAATGCTTTCTTTTTTATTGTACATAGTATTATTACTATTAAGGATATTTCATTCCAATGTATATTTCTTAATTGTATATAGCGTCATAATATTACGTATTTTTTACACTGTAGTTATGGTAGGATTGAAAACAAGGTTTGTGTATCGATGAGCAGATGTGAAATTAAAACACTATATAGAAAACTGCAAGAGCTTGGATTTTTGACCCGTGTGAAATATTGCTATTTGGTAAAAATGGCACAACCAGACATTTTGCATTAGGTTCACTGGCCACGAATATGAAAATACTAAACCTTTTTTCCACTGCAACCGAGCCACGTCGGGATTGAGCAAAGCCAGACCAGCACCGTTTAAGAGGTGCTATGTTGTTTCTCTGTTTCACTCGCCGAAAGTGCTGCTGATGTTCCACTCAATGCTCGTGTTGAGTGACATGTAGATGAAGCAGTGACACTGGTGCACCCCACACTGTACTAACTGATATCACATGCAATGAATGTGAAATTAGCCCGCCCCTAGTCTGAGCCAGATTCACGTCTTGTTTGGGCAGCGCATAATGATTTGGTTTTGGTTGGCACAATACCCAGTGGAAAACAATCTGTACCATGAGGGCCGTGTGCTTGCTCAGCTAGGATGTGCCAGTGGAAATGGAGTACAGTATAATTGACTGGGTATATGGAAAAAAAACTTGATGAACGCACAAAAAATTATCATCTAGAAAACAATGTTTTGCTGATATAGGAAGTTAGTAGCAGGTAAAAGTTGTCTAAATCTGCCATTCATATGCATGATTATGATGCGTTTATAATACAGGTCTTTTTGGGTTAGATCGCATCAATATAAATGTGTCTTTAAACCCGCCATCATCCGACAAAGCCAATTAGCAAATGCTTTGTTGGTCAGACAGGACGAATGATCAGCACGAGACTAAAAGAACACCAAAGGAATATGAAATACTATCAAATACAACTGTCGGCAGTAGCAGAACACGTATGCCAACAAGGACACTCAATTGATTTTGATAATGTTGAAGTTCTGTGAAAAACTAGTTACTCTTGGCAAAGACTAATTAGAGCATCTACCAAAATTGAGAGAAATAAAAATAAATGTAATCGTTTGGATAGCTACAGGCTGAGCGCTGCTTGGAAGGGAATCATCAAGTAATACACTGTTTAACTGCATGTCTATACAGGTCACCATATGTCGACAATAACAGGTGCACACAAACGAAGTGATGTACAAAAACAGCAACGCGCATGCATAATGTACGTTGAATACCATATGAATAACCCAACAGATATTGGATACCTATTGTAATTTATATGTATTACTTAACCCCCCCCCCCCCCCACCTCTAGCCTTCGCACGTGAGGGGTTCACAAGTGACAACTTCACATCTGTCCATCTATTTAAGAACGAAACAGTAGGAATTCTCCACAAATCTGGCTGTCACTTGATGATGCTCGTTGTAATTACTGGCGAAACCTCGTACTCAGATTGTAAATGTTGTGGCTTTACTCTCCAACACACCCATGTGCTGTCCTAGTAACGAATTGGGATGTTCTGTTTACGTGGCAATCTTTACTAATTGGCTGTGTCGGGTGGTGGCAGGTTTAACGACACATATACGCGATCCAACCCAAATAACATTATGGATAATATTTGTCCCGAAAGTCTACGTGTTAAACTGTCATGTGTTTGTTGGAGGCGGATGGGTGGTGGATGGGTTGTGGCTGTGAGGATCCTAGGCTTGAATCCGGGTTTCCGTTGCGCACGATTAAACCAGGTTTTCGAGTGCAGCAAGTCCATTGTAACTTATCCCAGTTGCCAAATGATGAATAAAACCTTTATTTTACATTTTATCACTTCATTATATTAAATTCCTGAGAATTAAAAGTGTTAGACTGCCATCTGACGGACACATTTTTCAGGGCATATAAAAAGGTATTTTACCAGAAACATGTACAGTGAGGGAAAAAAGTATTTGATCCCCTGCTGATTTTGTACGTTTGCCCACTGACAAAGAAATGATCAGTCTATAATGTTAATGGTATGTTTATTTGAACAGTGAGAGACATAATAACAACAACAAAATCCAGAAAAACGTATGTCAAAAATGTTATAAATTGATTTGCATTTTAATGAGGGAAATAAGTATTTGATCCCTCTGCAAAACATGACTTAGTACTTGGTGGTACAACTCTTGTTGGCAATCACAGAGGTCGGACGTTTCTTGTAGTTGGCCACCAGGTTTGCACACATCTCAGGAGGGATTTTGTCCCGCTCCTCTTTTCAGATCTTTTCCAAGTCATTAAGGTTTCGAGGCTGACGTTTGGCAACTCGAACCTTCAGCTCCCTCCACAGATTTTCTATGGGACTAAGGTCTGGAGACTGGCTAGGCCAATCCAAGACCTTACTGTGCTTCTTCTTGAGCCACTCCTTTGTTGCCTTGGCCGTGTGTTTTGAGTCATTGTCATGCTGGAATACCCATCCACGACCCATTTTCAATGCCCTGGCTGAGGGAAGGAGATTCTCACCCAAGATTTGACGGTACATGGCCCTGCCCATCGTCCCTTTGATGCGGTGAAGTTTGTCCCCTTAGCAGAAAAACACCCCCAAAGCATAATGTTTCCACCTCCATGTTTGACGGTGGGGATGGTGTTCTTGGGGTCATAGGCAGCATTCCTCCTCCTCCAAACACGGCGAGTTGAGTTGATGCCAAAGAGCTCCATTTTTGTCTCATCTGACCACAACACTTTCACCCAGTTGTCCTCTGAATCATTCAGATGTTCATTGGCAAACTTCAGACGGGCATGTATATGTGCTTTCTTGAGCAGGGGGACCTTGCGGGCGCTGCAGGATTTCAGTCCTTCACGGCGTAGTGTGTTACCAACTGTTTTCTTGGTGACTATGGTCCCAGCTGTCTTGAGATCATTGACAAGATCCTCCCGTGTAGTTCTGGGCTGATTCCTCACCGTTCTCATGATCATTGCAATTCCACGAGGTGAGATCTTGCATGGAGCCCCAGGCCGAGGGATATTGACAGTTATTTTGTGTTTCTTCCATTTGCGAATAATCGCACCAACTGTTGTCACCTTCTCACCAAGCTGCTTGGCGATGGTCTTGTAGCCCATTCCAGCCTTGTGTAGGTCTACAATCTTGTCCCTGACATCCTTGGAGAGCTCTTTGGTCTTGGCCATTGTTGTATCTGTGCCCCTTTTCTCAAAAAAAATTTTAATATTAAGAATAAAAAAAAAATGTTTACATATATATATTTTTTAAATTAAATAATGAAAACAGCCTCTACTCCTCACAAGCACACCAGGAATCTGTGAAACGGGGAGGGCCATTAAGTGACAAGATTTCAGAGCACAGAGAGGTCAGAGACATCTAGATGGACAAAAGGTCGATGGCCTAACCTTCCCAAGACGTCTGGAGATGCACAGATAAGGTGCAGAGCAGAGAAAAACAACTATTGCAAACTCGCGTTTTCTTTAACGTTTTCCTTAACGAAAAGTAGAAACTTAACAAAAATAATTAACCAGCAAACAATAGGGGCTTGTTATTAGATATTCCCTTATATTACTCGTATTCACCGCATATATATTATTTTGTATTGCATGTTTCTATCTACATGACCTTACCAAAAACTAAAGAATACGAATTCCAGAAAGCTTAAGTGGAAACTTAGTTACACTTAACCTCAGGACATTAAAATATAACTCAGAATATAACACCAATCCCTGGAAACAAACGCATAGCCAAACTTGGCAAAGCCTTCAAAATAATGATGTAACGAGGATCATTACGAATATTCATTAAACATAGACCGAATAATAACCACAATATACTAAGACTGAGGGAACTCATAAGAAATATCAAGAATAAATGTAACACACAGGACCACATAAATGTATTGCAAACATCTCCTTAGCCACCTTTGTCTCCCCGGAGTCGGCGCGAAAACAGATGACAACCATAAACCCCATAGAGGGCGTCTGTTCTCTTGTTGTTTGTTTTCCTCTCGCAGAGAGGAGAGGTTGTTTTACGTTTTGGGTTGTAAACACAAACAGACATGGGCTTGACGTAAAACAGCACGCTCTGGGTCACCAAGAGACGCGCAGAGAGGAGAGGGTGTTCACGTTTTGAGTTTTAAGCACAAGCGCACATCACGAATGAGCAGTCTGGTTCGAGTCGCGCTCAGTCTTGCAACTCGGCTTGCGACGCGGCGTTGCGACGGGGCTCGCAAGGGAGCTGGGGCAGATCGTGCCTCGAGGAGAGATTGGACGACGAGGGGTCGTTAGAGTGACAGTCTGAGTGCAGTCTGGTTCGAGTCGTGCTCAGTCTCGCAACTCGGCGTTGCGACGGGGCTCGCAAGGGAGCTGGGGCAGATCGTGCCTCGAGGAGAGATGGGACGACGACGGGTCGTTAGAGTGACAGTCTGAGGGCAGTCTGGTTCGAGTCGCGCTCAGTCTTGCAACTCGGCTTGCGACGCGGCGTTGCGACGGGGCTCGCAAGGGAGCTGGGGCGCGTCGTGCCTCGAAGAGAGATGGAACGAGGAGGGGTCGTTAGAGTGACAGTCTGAGGGCAGTCTGGTTCGAGTCGCGCTCAGTCTTGCAACTCGGCTTGCGACGCGGCGTTGCGACGGGGCTCGCAAGGGAGCTGGGGCAGATCGTGCCTCGAGGAGAGATGGGACGACGAGGGGTCGTTAAAGTGACAGTCTGAGTGCAGTCTGGTTCGAGTCGTGCTCAGTCTCGCAACTCGGCGTTGCGACGGGGCTCGCAAGGGAGCTGGGGCAGATCGTGCCTCGAGGAGAGATGGGACGACGACGGGTCGTTAGAGTGACAGTCTGAGGGCAGTCTGGTTCGAGTCGCGCTCAGTCTTGCAACTCGGCTTGCGACGCGGCGTTGCGACGGGGCTCGCAAGGGAGCTGGGGCGCGTCGTGCCTCGAAGAGAGATGGAACGAGGAGGGGTCGTTCGAGTCGCAGAAATCTGAGTTCAACCTGGGTCGAGGCTGAGTTCAGCCGTGCTCCGGCTGGCGGAGCGTCGTGAGGGAGCAAACACCGATACCGATGTCAGGTGTCGCTTCTCGCAGAACGAAGTGTCGAGGTGTGGTTAAGTGCGAGTGAAGCTGGCAGCTGCACGAACAAAGGAAAGCACGGAGAAGAGAGAGTGACGAGTGACAA